CAGAATCAGCTGAGCTGCTCAGAATCAGCTGAGCTGCTCAGAATCAGCTGAGCTGCTCAGAATCAGCTAAGCTGCTCAGAATCAGCTAAGCTGCTCAGAATCAGGTGAGCTGCTCAGAATTAGGTGAGCTGCTCAGAATCAGGCGAGCTGCTCAGAATCAGTTTCACGGTCCACAAGTTAATGATTTTTGAATTGGGAGAGCGGCTAGAGTTTCCGTATCGGGTGGCGGAAGCATCTGTGGCACGTGTGCGGTCGGCAATCATGACCAATTTCGCGCCGATGAATGTGTGAGATGGCGTCGGTGTGGTCACAGGCTATGATCTGTCACAGAGGGGAATGTGTGGGCTTCTGTCCGAAGGAATTACAAAGAAGACAGCCCGTGGCTTTTTGCAAAGGCACATATTTCTGCGTAGAGATCATCTAGTGAGGAGAATCTTGCAGATACACATGTGACGTTCCCTGTCGTAGGTTTTCAGCGAAATTACCCATGCGACTCACTCTCAATCGGAAAAGAGTACGTGTGAACGTCCCCAGTCCGTGACAAAGACCGGCTTCGCATCACCAATAAACCGATCCTGTGCCTTCGTGGGCAAGTTGAGTCAGCTTCTAGCAAAAGAAGGTAGTCGCGATGGGTCCATTCGACTAGTACGCCTAGCTGGGTGCGTCATCATCAGCCCGGAAGAAGCTTCAGGGTATGGGATAGCTGTTTCACTCTCCTTTCGAAGCCGATCCGACGAGAAGCTGTTCTGGGACACGAGCCGGTCTTTTAGAGGGGGCGTCAGTTGTCCAAGGTGCCGCAGACTTGAGAACTATCAGGGAGAGCTGCAAACCACGACATCTTTACCGAATCAGACTGGGCTCGAAGAAGCTAAAAGAGCTTTGCTTATAACCGTTGAAAAGCATTTTTATTCATCAAGTACTTCCATTCATTTCCACATGCTGCTTCTCTCGAGTCCTTTCTCGAATCATGAACGTGCGAGAGTCGCGTTTTGCGTACATGAGCCTCAGACGAGTACGTGGAAATGAATCACATCTTCTGTGAGCACACTCGATTCCCGGGCTTAATACCTGAACTACCAAAAGGTTTTTCACATCCGTAGACGAAGGGAGAATCTCAGCTCGTACTGCGGAAAGCCATTCTGTTGTACCTACAATGGAGCACCGGAAAGGGGGATGGCGTTCATCTTACAGCGAAAGCAGTGGGAAGCTTCACTACATTACACGACCACCTGAAGATGGAAAAGACAAAAAGAACCTGAAGAACTAAGGAAAAGAAAATCGTAGACGTGAATGCAATGTTAGACATTCTTGTTTCAGCACACTCACTGGGATTCAGTTAATGCCTTCACTTCTCTGAACACCATCGAGCCCGGAGACCGGCAATGGCCGTATCACGCGAGGACAAAATAGATGAAAATGAAATCAGTTTCTCAGGCGCATGATCTTTTCTGAATCTCTCCATTGACGAACGACACGAAGAGGTCGGCAGCAGGGCATTGCGATTTCGCTTGGCCGTGCAACAGAGAGCTGCATGTTCCAAGCTTTCGCGTTTTTTTATAAGCCCTGCATGCGCTCTGCCAGAATCTAAATCGCCGTCCCAACTCCAGCGTTGCTTAGAACGAGCCGTGACTCTCAAGAAGTCGATCTTGCGGTTAACATCGGCATAAACGTGGGCAACGTCAACACTTCTCTAGTAGACTCTTTTTAAATCTAAACGAGTCGGCGAATGAGCAGGCATAGGTGGTAGGAGCACGTGTTTTTGGCGGTAAGGAGAACGGTGGTTTCTGCTCTTCCGAGTCCTCGAGCAACACTTCGGACGCGCCGTGAAGATCTAAGATGAAAGTTTGAACTGCTTCATTGTAACTGTCGATGAGCGCTGTCGTGACACGTGATTACATTTTTAAGGTTCATTTTTGATGTTGTAAATTCTTTCTCAAAAGTCGAAACCTAGGAAGTTAATGCAGCTAAAAGTGGACATCCCAAAGTGGATCGGAAATTTGCGAGGACAGGTGTTTATCGACACTTTTTTTCTGGTTTACAGAGGAGACCGGAAAACAACACGCTCACGTCATGTATCATGCGCTGTTTCAGATTCAATGTTGAGCATTGAAATCTAAAGATCAAGAGAAGAGGTTGAATGAACGATGACTTTCACAAGGAAGAAGAAAGATCGAAAATATCCGAGTGCAGGCACTGGGACTATTCAACAAAGATGTAAACCAACTGATCAACGAAAGGTCTCTCACGATCCAAATCCACATGATCTTTTGTTTGTAAAGAACTCAGCATCTGAATTTGAAAGAGTAGGTCATGCTCTGTAGGAAAACCTCTTGATCTAAATGATCAAAAAAAGATCTAAAGAAATTTACATATTTACCATAGGCTCTCTCACTGGATCCGCAATCTAAATCGATCCAGAGGCGTTCGCGTGACGCCGGTGAAAAAGGTCCTTGAAAGTTATCCCAGCGCTTGATCCAAAAGAACCCCCTCAAAGCTCCTCTCTCATATTCTCTAAATAGATGTTCACACTAGTATTCAAAATGAAAATTGTTCACATCTTATCCCCTGGCAAATAGTATTCAAAACGAGAATCCATATCTCATTGCGTTGCTTGCTCCTGACTCTGCTCAATCTCATCTCAACCTCATCTCTAAACGAACCAAACCTTTCCTCCACGCCAAACCTTTCTTAACAGGGAAAGTATAAGGGAAGTCTCTCTCCTCTCCTAAGAGAAGCTTTTCTCGTCTTCGGTAGCATAACAAAATGGGTCGTATCGTCCGTGGTCAGCGTAAGGGTGCCGGTGGTGTCTTCAAGGCCAAAACCAAGCACCGCAAGGGAGCCGCCAAGCTCCGTTGCCTCGACTATGCCGAACGTCACGGGTAGTTTTTCTTGAATTCTCTGCGTTAGCAAACCTATATTTGCTATGGTTTTTTAGATTTTTGGATTCGGATTTTATGAACTGATGGCAGAACAAATCAGAATGTTGTAGAAAAGTGCTGACGACCTTCTAAAACATACGAGTCTCTTTCCCTAAAGATTTAGATCATAAATTTTGTGCACTCAGAGAATTCCCGGTGATTCCCTCATGATAGTACGTTTCTTTTTATGCTAGCAAAATGTCTAAATACTCTCTACCGAAAAATCTCTAACTCCAACGTCACATACCACAAATCCGAAAAACAGATATGTCAAGGGTCTCGTGAAGGAGATTATCCACGACCCGGGACGTGGCGCTCCTCTCGCCAAGGTCCACTTCCGCGATCCGTACCGTTACAAGACCGACAAGCAGCTTATGGTTGCCGTCGAAGGAACCTACACCGGACAGTTCATCTACTGCGGTACTGCTCTAAACTTGGATAGACTTGGGGATATCCTCAGAAGTAGCTAGTCTTCTGCAGATTTTAGGATCGTTGTGAACTCTAAGTACCAAGTCGTGTGTCGTGTTCGATCATTGCCGTCGGATAATCTTTAGATGTTTCACCAGAACGATGATCTCATCATGATACTTGCTCCGTCTCGCAGAATGAGAAGACACTGTAAAATTATTATATTCCCCTGCTCAACCAAAATCACAGGTAAAACCGCCCAACTCGCTGTCGGCAATGTGCTCCCGGTCGGGAAGTGCCCAGAAGGTACCGTTGTCTCCATGGTGGAGGATAAGTTTGCTGATCGCGGTTCCATCGCTCGTGCTTCCGGAACTTCCTGCATCGTCATCGGACACTCTGAGGACGGCAAGAAATCCATGGTCAAGCTCCCGTCCGGCACGCGTAAGCGCATCCCCTCTGGATCCCGTGCCATCGTCGGTGTCGTCGCAGGAGGAGGCCGAATCGATAAGCCGATGTTGAAGGCCGGTATAGCCGATGTTGATAGACGATACCAAATATACACATATCCTGAGACGTGAATACACATTTTTTTGACGTTCGTTGCTTCTCGTCTTAATCATTAGATTTTGTTGCAAAAGTACATTCTGTTACACCTCGTCTCTGAGGACTCACTTTGAAACAGCTCCACTATTTGAAATGCCACTTCGAAATACTTGGTGTCAGTTCCTCTGAACATTCGAACATCCTTCAGGTAACGCCTTCCACAAGTACCGCGTGAAGCGCAACTGCTGGCCAAAGGTTCGTGGTGTGGCGATGAACCCGGTTGAGCATCCTCACGGTGGTGGTAACCATCAGCACGTGGGTCACCCCACCACCACCGCTCGTAACGCGCCGCCAGGTCAGAAGGTCGGTCTCATCGCCGCCCGTCGTACCGGTATCTTGCGTGGTGGTAACAAGATGAACAAGTAAACTTATGTCTTTTTACTTACGTCGTAGTACCGGTTGTACCTTACGTGGTGGTAAGACGAAGATGGAGACTTGTTTTTGAGGCGCTGAAGATGCGAACATTTACAAGACGTCAGCAGATGAAAGAAGCTATTTCATGCGTCGAAAATGCTTGCGGCGGAGGTACCTCCTGGATGAAGCGCAGCTACAGCGTGACAAAGAAGATCCTTGGAGGGACGATACGTCAAAAAATCTGTTGAAATTTGCACTATGCTCTGAATTTCTGATTATTTCGATGAGATGAAAGACTTATCATTCTGCAGATTTGTAACAGCTGAGGAGAATTGACTACCGAAAGACGAAAAAAGGCCTGCGTGCCCCCTCTATGTGGAGGAGGCGCGCGGCGCGCCATTGCGCCTGGTCGTAAGTGTCATGGGAAGATCCTGTGTTCCAGTCAGTGAGAAAACGCTTTTATCTTTAGATAAGCAGAGTTAGTATGCAAGTTCAACAAAAGGGGAACAAGAGAATGGCTCAGACAGCTTATTGTACGAGATACGAGATACTAGCAGCACGTGACCTCATTTTGTAAAAGTAATGACTGCAGATGCGAATCTAGATGTTTTCAATTTTCCCGCATCAATTTTAATTACTTACCTCGAGTGACAGGGTTTCTCGCTCAAGACCAAAATCATGTCTACCACCAAGACCAAAATCATGTCTACCACCAAGACCAAAATCATGTCTACTTCGTCGCTGTCTCTCGATGTCGAGAGCGACCCTGTCAAGGGTGCGAAGCTCATCGCGGCGGCTCACGAATCGAAAACCGATGGTAATGAGGCGTTCAGAAGAGGAGAGTTTGCGCATGCTGATGAGCTGTGAACATGGTGGATGCTAGGAGGTTCCTTTATGGGGAAAAGTAAGATAGATAGGTATCCAGCTCCAGTTGTTGTGTTTCATTTCTTCCTAGCGAATATGGATGCACCTGCTTGAGCAGTCAGTTGTGCTGTACGAAACTTTCATTCCATGAAATATTCTTGATAATAGTTTGGCTTCCTCTAAACGTCTCTCCTCACCAAAGGAGTCCAACATCTCGAAAGAGAAGACTTTATTCCGCCTGGGAGAAGCGCAGCTTCAGTGGAGCGCCAGTGGAGGAGTTTCAAAACACTGTTGCGCGCTTGAGTGACCTGGGCATGGCACTAGGTAAAGGTAAAGGCTAGTTCATCACTATCCGAAGTGGAGGATATTGAGTGCGCCGCCTCTTGGCTTTCGGGGGAAAGCACGGTAGAAAGGGAGGAATTCACTCAACTACCAGGGACGGAGACCTTCAGACCAAGCAACGGTGAGGGAGATCGACCGTCTGGTCAAGTCGGATGTGTTGGACTTGGATGGTGGGGGAAGAGAGCGCCGTGACAAGAATGGTTTGCCAACAACATTGTTCTACTCTGAGCGCACCAATTATTAAGGCTAAGTAACTCGATGGGTTGCACTTGTTGGAGGGGATCGCTATCGAGAATTCTTGACCACGCGAGCCCCTTCCATGAGCCCCGAGAAGTAGGCTCTAAAACTGCTGCATCTACTTCGAGTACTAACCATGGCGTTATGTTGCCTGGTAGCATCCTTGCTGGCATGGGTAGTAGTCAAGGCAGCTTATGGGCGAGCTATGCCTGGGGGTGAAGACATCAAACGACAGTGTCGGAGGAGGAGGTACTTGGCGGGCTGGGTCCTACAACATGGCGCTCTCTGGAGGTGGTAGGAGAAGGTGGTCTAAGAATAGATCAAAAGCAGACGATGGCGCCAGTACTGCCGAGGGCTGTGAAGGAGAAGATCTGTTCTACGACCACTGCAAGCCGCCACTAGAGTCGAAGACGCTTGTCATCATGAAGAGAAAATGGTTGCTCTGAAGAAGAAAACAAGGAAAATTATGTACTGAGCTGCAAATGATCTTCAAGGTGAGCAGAAGGGTCTCCAAAAAGAGAGCACAGGTCGATGGTGAACAATCGAAGCCAAGCGCGCGCACTAGAACAAGCGCGTCGATGTCAGCACTTGTCGAAGCCAAGAAGACGAGTCCTGAAGATATCGGGAAATGGCGAAAGCTGAAGTCGCGGCTGAAGAGATGGACCAAAGCAGTAGAGTCAATGAAGATGAAGCTATGGCAGAGAAAAGACTACTCCTACTCAATATTCACAACCTCGCTCAGCAGTAACGAGTTGGCCAATATTCGGACAGGCCCAAATCACTAGCACTTTGGGGGAAGCCCTTAGGGTCTGGAGGTTGGGGGGAGGTGACGGGGGCGGCAAGGGGCGAGTCCTGAAAATAAGGTGCAGCGGGATATGGCGAAAGCTGAAGTCGCGGCTGTGGCTGAAGAGATGGACCAAAGCAGAGTCAATGAAGATGAAGCGGAGGGTGGTTTACTAGCCAAAGCAAAGTCAATGAAGATGAAGCGGAGGGTGGTTTACTAGCCAAAGCAGAGTCAATGAAGATGAAGCGGGTGGTTTACTAGCGGTAGGGGAAGGGATGGAAGTGGATGAAATGGTGCTGGATTATGGTCATTCGTGGAGGAAGGATCGCAATCTCGTTGTTTTTTCTAGATCAAGACTCCTGACACGCCTCGACCCGTGCAAGGAATTTGAATTTCCTGTCATGCTTAGATCCTTCCCAAAAGGAACTTGGTTGTCCATCGTAATGAATATGGAGGTACTTTCTACAGCCTGGCTGGTGCATTTATTCCAACTGAGTTGTTCACCTTCACGGCCAGATAAAAGTGGTGTGGTGCTTTTTTCTTTTCTGTGGTGGTGTGGGCGTAGCATGCTGGACCTCGTGGATTTCCGAAGTAGGCTTCTGGTTTCACAACTCCTTACTAGGATTTCTCTGTCAAGAATATTATTATCGGTTGTACGTAGTGGTGGAGGTTCCCGTATTGATCATCTCTCTTATAAAATCACGACTAATGCGAGTTTGCGTTTTCCTTGATCATCATCATCATCATCATCATCAAGGTGAGCAAACAATTCTGGGACCCATCATGGCTAGACTCTTCGCCTCGTTGCGCTTCTGCTTAATCGGTTGCTGTATGGAAGGCAGTGACGCTGTGCTTCGAGTGTGTGTGTGTGTGTGCGTGTGTTGTCTATGTTGTCTATGCCCTCTATTTCTTCACATTTTTTGACATTTCTGCTCCGTCCTTGTTTCTATCTTCTAATGAATAGTGTCTCTCAGTCAGGGGATCATGTTCAACTAGTACAACAGAGACCCACCTGTCTTCACTTTTCGATTCGGAAATAAACTTTTTGATCTCGCACACGTACTTTTTTTTGCTTTTTTTGCTTCATGCAAATTGGCCACCACGGAGGACCCGTAACACGGACCCGTATGTGAGATATAATACTCCTGCTAGATTTTATAATCACTGCCGTCCCCCTCTCCTCGTATTCGTATTCCTATCAACCTCTCTCCAAAGAGTCCAAATTTAGGTAGACAAAAGGTAGGCAAAAAATGACTGCCTCCACGCCAACGACATCCACCTCGTTGTCCGATGCAACAACGCTGTTCGGCACAGCGTTCTTAGATCTCAGCTCCTGTGCGATAATATCGATCCTCATCGTCGCGAACCGTTGTTTGGGGTTGCTTGTGCATGTTGTGGCCTTGTACCTCACTTTTTGCATTGATGTGGAGGACGTCATAAAATGGCAAGAGTCACTGACTAGGAATCCGATACTGGTCGCGCTGTTCCTTATGGCTGTTTGAGATTTGAAATTATCAATATGAGAAAATAGCATTAGATTCTCAGCATGCAGCAGCATGTTAAACATGTCATCATGATGAGCTTGAACATGAGAACCTACATCTGCATCTAGATCTTGTATTAGTAGAGATACTATGGGAGCCCTCTACGTCTACCAGATATCTTCATCTCGATCTTCATCTCTAACTTCATGACCTCTATGTTCATGACCTCTATGTTCATGACCTCCATGTTCATGACCTCTATGTTCATGACCTCTATGTTCATGACCTCTATCTTCATGACCTCTAACTTCATGACCTCTAACTTCATGACCTCTAACTTCATGACCTCTAACTTCATGACCTCTAACTTCATGACCTCCATGTTCATGACCTCCATGTTCATAACCTCTATCTTGACCTCTATCTTCATAGAGTCTATCTTCAGATGTCTACATAGAAGCAAGAGTCTACTTGATCTCTAACTTCCGCACGAACAAAGAGCAGCGTTACACAAAAGCGTTCGTGGCTCACCTCCGAAGGATAACTGGGAATGGGCTTCTGTTTTTCGCCTTGACGATCCTCAACATATTTTTTGGGGTCGTCGTGTATGCCAATATTCTTTTGCGGTCTACGACTGCGGGACTTGGAGGAGTGGGTGATCTTCTTGTAGGAGGTTTTACTTCATCCGACGCTGTCACAGAGAACCTCTTGCTCTTAGAAAGAATCTTTTTCGGCTGCTCGAATATTGCGGTGTTTCTTTATGACTTGGACGATTATCCTCATGCTGCAGGATAAACGAAGAGGTTCATAAGGTTTTTTGTTGATTACGTGGTGCTATGGGGAACTGGAACTCCTCCTGTAACCTTCAGGCGGAATGGAAGTTGTATTGCACCAAGTAGTTAATTTCCAAAACGACCTCCTCTCCGCCGTACTGGAACTACCTCATCCATCCCCCCGTATCCACTTTCCATCTTGTCGACCACCTCCTCATGTAAAACCACGTACATCTTCCACTAAAGCGACTGTTTCCATTTTGGCGATCTCATCTAAGCTTGCCTGTACCACCTTCTCCTTGCTCGCCGCGATGTGACCCGAATAGGGACTCCAGGGATATTTCAGCACAAGCTGATCATCCTTCCTTGGTTAGGCGAACTTGTTCTGGTTGGATACCCGCAACTGGTAGGGACGAACACGCTGTGGGAGCATGTAAAACTGTGTTTCGCATTTGGAGCCTGCTATCTGGCTTACTACGCTTTTGGGATGATTATGGGCATGATTATGGGGTTACTATAAACAAACAACAAACAACTGATCCTTCTTAGTGTCGGTGACCGCAGTGCCAATTTAAGTAACCATATTTTTAACTATCTTTTTCTATCTTTGTCGCTGACTTTCGTAGTCGCCCATCATCCTCGGAGGCGAGCAACGGGTGCCTGTGAGGCTCGCTGTGAAGGGTCCATAACCTAACCTAACCTATCTTTCCTAGGTAGGTTGGCTCCGCCACACATATTACTAGTGATTGGATTGATTAACACTGGTACTAGGCTGCTAGTACCAGAGGTCGTTGCCAAAAATCCACCAGCTTTTCCTCCTCTAATATTCTCTGCGTGATGCGTCAAAATTTGTATTTCATCATGCCTCTTGTCCCGAGTGAGAGTGCGATTGATCTTCACATTCCCGCAACTGAGAAAATCCCAGAGACGAATGGCGAACTGTATCAACTGATGGTAAAAACAGGCTTCCCAGAAATCGACTACGAAAAAGCACAAGTCTTATGGCCACTACAAGCTCAATCAGTGATTATCACTACAAGCTCAATCAGTTACTACTATAAGCTGATTAATATCACGAGGACTTGTGACTGACTACTACAAGCCGAAGATATCTGTGAATGTCACTCACGACTCGTAAGTTCAATCACGACTCGTTGTAATTTTCACTTTCAGTAGTTTACTGTACAATAAAAATACAGCAAGAACAAGCTGGAGGCCTTGCTTTTGTTCGTGCTCGCCTTATCGCACGACGACAAGCACGAAAAGGAAGATACTAGACAGTCTACTTACAACTCGTTCATCTACTTAGAAGGGCTTCAAAATTATACAGGAACAGCAGGCACTGGCTAGTGCTATCTAATGAGATGTGCCACCTTCTTAGATGAAGAGGAAGCTGCCCAATCCTCTTTCCCTAATCCCGATCCTCTTTCGTTATTGAACAGCAGGCACAGGCTTTCTTTCATGATAAGTACTATCTAATGAGAGGTGCCACCTTCTTAGATGAAGAAGAAGCTGCCCAATCCTCTTTCTCTAATCCCGATCCTCTTTCGTTATTTCGGTAAAGATCGACAGATTTCACCGGAGAAAGCTGGCGTAGACCCAAGAGCGAAATTAGGGAAGCCACCTACAGTGCGAGTCGAAAGAAATTTGGTCATGTCTGTTATGGTCTGCGTTTAATATCCATGTGCTATCGTCCATCTTGATGTACTTGTCTTAGATGGATATGCCCTCCATCCTAGTATCCTGTGCATTTGTCTAAGCGTCTCAGCGTCTCTTCGGTGTGCGTTATTGATAGATAGAACAAGACTTGTTCTGCATCAACAAATAGAGGGAGAGACAAGGACAAAGTCGAAGTCCACACAGATCAATTTTTGAATGAAGGAACAACTAGATACTGTTTTTTCACTTGCTGTAAAAAGAATGTCAACCCTTTGGTCTTCCTCGGTCTATCTCATATTACAGACAAAGTCCACAGGTCAACTTTTGAATGAAGGGAACATCAACTACACTAGCCAGAAAACCACAACAAGGACACTCTAAACCTGGTGTCATAGCTACGGCGATTCTTTTAGTTGTGGTCCCGATTATGGCAACGTGCGTCTACGGCATAGTTTGGGGAAGAGAGGCTTTGATGAGATGACCAGGAATCCGCGAGGTGGCAGCAGCATCACAAAAAATGCAGCGCCTCCGAGACGAGTCGTAGTGCTGATGTTGTACTAGAGATGAGTAGTTGTTGTAGTTGTTATATAGCTACCCCTTCTTCGAGTAGTCCCCTTCTTGAGATTTTTTTTGAAATTTCAACCACAATCCAAAGAGGACACGTCATCGGGACTTGTTTTCAGGAGTCTGCAGTTTTTTTGTTCTACTCTTTTTGAAAATAGGAGCGTCTGAAAAGTCCACGAGAAATGAGCTTCTAAGAACGAGATCGGAGTGGGGTATGCTTAGCTCGCAGCATTTTTTTTTCTCTGCCTCTGCCTCTGTCTACCCTGTAGTACTAGGCTTCATTCTGTTGTCTGCTTTCTGGTACATGCGCTGCGTTTGCTTGCGCTCTTAGTCTTTACAATCATGACGTCTTTCTCTTTGTGATGAATCGGTCGTAGCCCCCTGTGTTGCAAGAGTCAGAGTGTGAGTGAATGTGAATAGACAAGAAAATGAGAAAGTGGTGTTCATCTTGTTTTTATGAGAGTTTTATCATGATTCTACTAAGTGTAGTAGTTGTGCTGTTTGAGTGAACATCAAGACGTCTTTGGTTGATGTGATACGCACCAGTGAGTAGCGGCTCTGATACTAGATAATTAAGTATGCGACACTCCTCCACGTTCCCTCACGCTCACCCCTCACCAGAACAGTCTGCGAGCCGTATTGAGTCCGCTTTATTTGGTTCTGTTTTTACTTTTGAACCTCTTAAACTTAAACATTGGTGGTTGATGGCGACGACTCGTCACTGCGATGCCTCCACTAGCTAAACTCGACTATTTCTTTTCCGTTAGTTTATTTACGTATGCAGTCGTGCGTACTTGCCCGTCTGCATCTGAATAACTTATTTTATGGTACAAGTCGACGTCACAGTTAATAACACCTCTAAGTCTACTATTATTTGATAGTGGTGTGCGTGTGATGTAGGTACCTAAATTCGTGTGGCATCATTGAACCAGTTGCATTCATCAGGCAAGAACGAAATTCGTTGCGTAACCAGGTTCCCACTTTCGGATTTCGTTTCGTTTGTTTCAGCATAATCCAAAATGGCGACTACTCCACGCTCTGCTGGCAGCAGCAAGAAGCTGCAAGTGTTTTCAGCAGAGGAGGTGGCAAAGCACAACAAACTGGGGGACCTTTGGTTAAGGGTTTCCGAATTACATTTACGCCATCCTTGGCTCTTTTCCTAGTGGAAAAGAAGCCACGGATATTCTGGGGAATGTAATTCCGTAACTAACCTCTAACTTTGCTGATCATCGAAGATAAGGTCTACGATGTCTCCAAGTTTGCAAATGTCCATCCTGGTGGAAAAACGATCCTTCTCGACATCGTTGGGAATGAAGCTACGCAGCACTTCTATGCGTTTCACCGAACGGAGGTCCCTATACCACTACTTTTAGCTTAGCACAACTTCTAGTATGCACCGAGCGGAGGTGTGGTCTATCCTCGTCTGCTTTTCATAAATACAAATATGTTGCTAGATTATAGCCCGTTTGGAGAAAGGCGTGATCGCTCCTGGAGTAAAAGTATGGTGAGAAAAATGGATTGAACACCAGGTGTTGGAAAAGTACCATTCGAAGTTGTGCATAGGGACGGTGGAGGGCGCGAAGCCAGCCAAGGCGTTCCAGCCCGATGCAAAGAAAGTTGACGTGTTGACTGCTCCCGTGGAAGAGCTGAGGAAGCATCCTCTGATTTCGAAGACCCCTTTCGGCGAGTCGGCAAGCATGAAAAAGTACTATGCCTCACCCTACATGAACGATTCTCACTTGCGCTTTCGGCTGGCAGTTCGAGAATTCCTGAAATCATGGCAGCCAGAGACCGAGGCAATGGAGGAAGCGGGAGAGTATCCCTCACCGGAACTCTGGGAAGCAGCGGGAAAAAGCGGTATACTGGCTTGCAGCGTTGGGATCATGGGGATGCCTTACGCGAAAAAGTTTGGAATAGAACTACCCGGTGGCATCAAGCCGGAGCACTTCGATTTTTTCCACGAGCAAATACTGCATGAAGAAAGTGTCAGAGGAATGGCGCACAGGTACTTTGCTATCTTTTACTCTATGATCGCGAACGGTCTTCACACCTCCATGTTGAATGAGGGGCACACCAGAGTGTGACCTTGAACTACTTGATTCGACGGTTCTTCTAGGACGACGCCTGAGATTCCTTACTTAGGAGCGTTTTTGACTAGTACTTAGGAGCGTGAAGACTTAGGAGCGTTTTAAAACGAGATGCTACTTAGAGGATCTACTCTGATACAACATAGAACAAGTCTACAACTTTTTACACTCAAGTGTTTCTTCTCCTGGTGTCTAAGATCTATAGTACCTTTTCCGAACAAAATAAAAATCTGATCTTGGTGTCTATCATCTGTCTCTCAACATTCTCCACCTACAATTTTTACATGCACTTCTTCAGCATCGGCGATGGGCTTTGGGCTGGCTTCAACATCGGTTTACCGCCAATCATCAATTTTTACCACGGCGACGACAAAGATGAGATGATCCGGAGTATCATGCTCGGGGAGAAGAAAGTTGTCCTTGCCATTACCGGACCCGAAGCAGGATCTGACGTAGCAAATCACACGACAACCGCGAAGAAAAGCGAGTGTGGCCAGTATTTTATCGTCCGTGGCATGAAGAAATGGATTACAGGCGGCTGCCAGGCCGATTATTTCGTCACAGCAGTGCGCACTGGAGGCCCGGGGATCAAAGGTATTTTTCAAATTCAACGTTTCGTCGTGCATGTAGTGGCTATACCTAAAAATATAGGAATTTTACGTGCTGGCAGAGCTGGTGCAGTATGATGTATTATATATGTAGAAGGAGCCACAACAACAACTTGTTTCACCGTATGTTAATTTCCGCCGATCATTAGTTGCTGCAATTATGCGAATGCAATAGTTGCTCCTGCAATTATGCGAATGCGATTAGAAGACAACTATTTTTTAAAAAATGCATATGCTCGACGCTTCTGGTGACCTGCTGGCAGGTATTTCGATGCTTCTGGTGAAACGTGAAGAAGGCGTCACGACCAAGCAGATTTCAACATCATACCAAAAGAGTGCCGCAACTGCTCTTGTGGAATTTCAAGATGCAAAAGTTCCCGCTCAAGGCAGGCTACTCGGTGTGAAAAAGGGGGACGAGCTCAACAAGGGTTTCCAGTGCATTATGCTCAATTTCAACCACGAACGATGGATGATCGCATGCAAGTGTGTTGGTACTCATCTACTAAATATTGTAGTAGTACTATGAAATTGTGACGATTACCGGACGTTCATATCTACTTACTTGATCCCTTGAACTTGTGCTTCTATACCTCCGTTCCGCCCGCTACGAAAAAACAGGATACCAGCGTCTCGTATTAGCGGAATGTCTTCAGTGGTTGATGCAGCGCAAGGCCTTTGGGCGGCCGCTGATGGATCAGGCGGTGTTGCGATTTAAGTACGGGCAAATGGCCGCGGCAGTGGAGACCATCCAGGCGCACTTGGACTTCGTGACGTACCAGATGAAGGTCTACTACGAGCGCGTGCGGGAGGACAAAAGCTGGAAAGCAAAGGACTACTTGGCAGGTGAGATAGGTCTGCTGAAGTACCAAGCGACGCGTGTTTCCACTTTTTAAGGCTTCTCCTAATCCATCTCGTGAAGCATCCCTACGAGGATTTTCAAGGGGAAAGGGCGCCGAGGATGCTTCTCGAGATGGATTAGGGTGAGCTCTAAACTTTGGTCGCCGACAACGGTTGTCAGATCTTCGGTGGGCGCGCGGTCACGAAAACGGGCATGGGCAAGCACATGGAGCGCTTTCAGCGCGCCTACAAAATCGCAAGTATCTACGGTGGCTCTGAAGAAATTATGGCCGATTTGGGGATTCGTCAGGCCCTAAGAGACTGGGACCCGGAGGACAAAGCCGCGTCAAGACTCTAAGCTGGTCAAGACTCTATAAGAGATTCTTCCACTTATTAAGTAGTACGGTCATGTTGATGTTTGAGATAGTACGTGCGCATTTTTTTTTTGAGATTGATCGTGCGGACTTGAGGTTGATCGTGCGCATTTTTTTTGAGATCATGAGAGACTTTCTTCTTCTCGTGTGAAGCATGAACGCGATCATAAATATTTTAGCTTTTCTCGATGTTGCCATCGCACGCCTATATACTGTGACCATGATCCATCTTCAACTAACACTGCTTTTATTACCCCTTAGTAAGTAGGCATCTCCGAGGACGTGTAGCTTTAGCTAAAGACTCATATCCTCCTTCAATTTTTCTCCTCCTCTTCCTCTCTTGTGTAGTCTCATTATACATGGATATGCTTCTTGAAATTCTCAGGTCTACATGCTCATTTATCCTCCCCTTTTGTTTCCTCCTAATCAACTGCACTTTCATCTATCCTCCGCAGCGTCCAATGAAGTGAATGTGGTAGTAGACGAGCAGTTTTTTGTTCGTCCGATATTAAAAATATTAAGGTTTTCCAAGCTGTTTCTCTTTGTCAATAGTTTCTTTTTGAAAAATCAGCACCTTTCCGGTTGTGCGTAGACGCGACTAGCGAACGGAGCTTTTGAAGTCGCTAAGCAACACGACACCGTGACAGAGGGCATGATCCGTAATCACCTGACATTTCCAGGCTTTTGCCTATACTCACAAGATCACTTTTTGTTTGGTGTTCTTGTTTCATTGGGAGTGCTGGTGTTCTCTCTTTTCCAAATGCAATGAAACGAGTGAAGGCTGACGACCGTTAGAGCGAATAGGGATCTTCAATGCTTTCACAAAACGAAGATCATTAGAGCGAGTAGGAATCTGTAATGCTTTCAAAAACTCTATCTGTATCTACTCGATTTGTGTTGACCACGAGGAAGTTTATGCTCATCCTTAAAGAACGAAGATGCGCCGCCAATGATCAGGGGGACAATCCAATAATCACTTTGAAGATGGCCGCTGCATTCGAGAAGATGTTACAACTACTAATCGTGAAAAAATATCAGGGTCCTCAGGCATTTTTGAACTTTTTCAACAAGGTGACAATCTTTTCAATACTTCCTGGAACTAAGAGTTATTGTTATTTTGATGTGACTTTAATATAGTAGCTTAAAAATAGGAACTACTAGGACATAGCGGTAGGAGGTGCTGTTTTTGGCTCTTCAGGTCGTAGTATTGTTTTTGGCCTTCGCATCTCAAGGACGAAGCTAACAAGTCAGACCCTGGATCCGACTCAACCATCTGCCTTGATCCGAAAGCATACGAATACAACGACAGAAAGATCCGAAAAGCAATTCTTCGAAGATCCTCTTTACCAAGAAGAGGCAATGACATAAATATAGGCCAAATAAGGAAAAGAAAGCGGTCGGTATCAAGCAAATCACAAGTCACATCTCCTGATACGGTGGACGAAATCACTCGCAATCATGCACAACCACCCAAGATCAAAAAAGCAGGAACGGGACAAAGCAAAGAAACCAAGCAGATCAGAGCCGAAGAGCACAAAGCAAATCAAGAGGAGGACAAAAGAGCAAGAGTTGAAGATCCCTTTCAAGGAAGGGAATGGATCGAGAAGTGCAGAAGAGGTAGGCGTGAAGAACCAGAAGACAACAGAGATGAGGAAATTCAGCAGCTGGACGGGATCATCAAGAAGATCAAGCCGCCACTTCCTGGCCACATCAGGTATCTCACGCTATCGCAGAACCTTGGATCAGCAGGGAGACATCGCAACAAATTCCTTCTAGTCATGCAAAAAGCCAGGAAAATAGGAGCCGACGTCGTGCTCCTCAACGAATTTGACTACCATGGACCCAGGAGGATCGAAACTAAGGACGAATTAGAGGGCGCCGAAGCCACCGAGTCCCAGGATCTCAGTGGTATTCTAATGAGCGCCACGGATGAGCAGAAGGCAGACGTCGACTCTCTTCTGATCAACGATGATGATGAGGACGAGATCAGAGCAGACAGAGACAACATCAACAGCGCGGCGGTAATGAGGAGCCAAAACAACAGCCTGCCGCCCGGCTGTGGGAGAGTAGGAAGAGGTGAGTATAGTGTCTTTAGAAATCCTGGGCACATCCTCATAGCTGGGGATGGAGTAGGCATAATTCTACTAGACACCAACCTACGGCTCCAGTTTGAACAAGCAGTGGCGCGAGGCATAACAGTAGTGCGATCCAGAAGGAGAGTATTGTCACTCGAGCTGGCGAATGTAGTATTTGCTACTGCGTACGCCCCGGCCAATGGTCCCGCAGCAAAACTGGAAGAGCTCACCTTTGAGACAGCCTTGCGAGAGACATGGGCAGAATGGAGGAAATGCAAATCATCCAAATGGAAAGCTTTTGTGATGGGAGGCGATTTCAGTGCCAGGATAGGCGACGAAAGTACCAGGGGAGAAAGCAATGCCTGTGGAAAACACGGATTACCCGAGACCAACACGAGAGGCAGGCCACTCCTTCAGCTTCTCGAAGACTCCAATTTCGCACATGTGTCCTCGCACTTTGAAGCTCATCCAGGACAAGGGAGACACACACACACAGAGATGGAGGAGAAATAGACTTCTATGTAGTACCAGCCAAACAGCTATACTCGGCCAAGGCGCTATGGAGATGGGAACTATCTGAGACATTTGATCATCGAGCCGTAGTTCTCCACATCGATGCAAGAACCCTAGTAAGACTAAGGTGGGAAGGACGAGTCAAGCAAAACACGAGGATGCAGATAGCGAGAGTTCCCAGTGAGTACCAGATAGCCCTATACAGTGAGGAACTCAAAAAATTACTCAAGGCTAGAGGATCGGAATTTGGGATAGAGGACCTCCACGAATTCCTATGTGACATGCTACCAAGATTCACGGAAAGGGTCAAGATCGGATTACCAACGGATAGCCCTGAGCTGCTAGCCAACGATGGGAGGCATCGATCAGAAATGTGGAAAACCTTCAGGGAGATAGCAGATGCTGAGGCGGGAGCCAGGATCAGGGACATCACAGATGAGGAGGCAGCCAAGCAGTACTCCAAGGTAGGGAGTAGCCCCTTACTTCCGGGGGGGCATGGGCTGCCACTACTACAGGACATTAAAGAAGAGATATCTGCACTGCCGCCAGAAATGCTGGAGAAGATAAGCGCGCCCATCACTGCGGATGATCTAAAGGAGACCATCAAAACCATGAACAAGGATGGAGCTCCAGACTACTACGGACTCACAATTAGACTGTTAACCTTCATGGACGACGAAGCTCTTCAACAAATTGTAGAGGCACTAAATCGAGCAACAAAAGGCAGCGGGCTGAGTGGACTAAAGGAGGAAATGCATTATTGCAAGAATACACCTCTTTTCAAAGGAAAGGGAGATCCAGCAGACCCAAGCAACTACCGCTATATTGTAGTCTCGCCGATGATACTTAAAGTAGTCATAAGAATCTACTCCCAGCGCCTGTACACAGCACTAGAGGAAGTGGGGCATTTTTGTCCAACCCAGTTTGGATTCAGAAAAGGATCTGGAGCACTAGAATCCCTTCTAGTATACAATCGAATCAAGGAGGACGTGATGCGCTATGGAGAAGAGGAGGTTGCGAGGGTCTTTGTCACGTTAGTGGATCTCAAAAAGGCCTTCCCTTCGATAGATTGGCGGATGGTCTCTGCAGTAGCTGAGGCACTTGGCGTGGCAGGTGGACCAGCATGGGAAGCCATCGCGGCCTCGCACAGGTCGGCCAAGCATCGTGTTGGTGAACAACTCTTCACCTTAGAACATGGAGCAAAAGAGGGATGTGTATCTTCTCCATTAGTCTTCCTGCTCACGTACACGGTCACGATGAAGATCTTCAGAAAGAAAAGGATGGAAATTAGCCCAGGAACAAGTCTACAAGTGAGATCGTTAACTTCTTCGCCACTAATTGGGAGGACTGCCAGGTTAGCCGCGTTACTCTTTGCAGATGAGGCTGAATTCGCAGGGTCGGGAGTGACGTCTGTGACAAAGCAGCAAATTGGCGATCTCCTATCTGCGGATGACACAACTATAGTCGAGGTACTTGGAAAAGAGGAGGTCGAACAAGCCATGGAGAGGGATGATCAACTCATCAAGGATAAGCAGCTACCCGAGGGCACAGAGGTGACAAGGACTTACGAACAAGTCTTGGCGGAGTCCCTGTCCGCGGAAAATGCAGCCAAGAGGGTGTATGGTGACGTAGTGACTCTTTCCACGCGCAATCTGGGCATGGTAACAAATAACAAGCAGGACCTTGAGGCCAAGAGGACTAAGGCAAGAAGAGCGTACTTCTCACTCAAATCCAAGATATCAGGAATGGCAGGACTCACACCAAGAAGGAAGGGCGAACTCATAGCAGTCATGATCAGAACCGTACTCACGTACGGCCTACAAGCAAGATTTATATCTGAGGAGGAGATGGCTGCATTGGAATCGATAGAAGGAGGATACCTAGCCGACATTCTTGGTGTACCATGGTGGGCTAGAAGGAAATATGGGATAAGATACAGCACACTTCGAAGAAGAGCCAAAATGATACCGTTGAGGACGCAGGTGCGGGCATTACAGGCCCGCTTCTTTGGACATCAAATGCGACGGGAGGGCATGCCACTGTCAAAAGCGCTTCTAATGGGACATGTGCTACCACCAGCTAACCGGAGTGTTATCGAGGAGGCGCGTGACGTTGTCAGGGAAGAAACCGGGCCACAGGTGGCAGTATGTGTCGACCTAACCGAGGAAGAAAAGGGAGCTGTAACCAGAAGAGCATATCTCATGAGAGACTCCACTACAATACCATCGTCGCCCCTGTCCGCTAGGGCCATTGGCAAGCCTCCGGACTACGTGCAGCAAGTAGGTAGATGGCTTACGGAATCCTGCCTAATACCGGAAAGGTATCTTGAGGCACTACTGCGGCCTAGCAGCGAGTAGAGCGGTGGAGACCAGCAGGCCAGATACCAGAGGAGTAGACGACAATTTGCCGAGTATGTACAGGAGCAAGTACTACGGGAAACCGCGGCGGACTGGGCGCAGGACGAGAAGGTCACTGAAGGCGCCATGCTGGTTCAGCTACTAGAAGAAAGGACGAAAGGAAAGCACGAAGCGGCAATGGAGAGTGCCACAAACTTCAGGCCTGACGAGGAGGTAAGATGGAGATCGCCAGCCCCGGTACTAGATCTCTCGGATGTTCCTGGATCCTCGGACGTTAGGTCAGCAGATAAGGTCGGAGTTGAGGTGGTGCCTAGACTAGTGGACTTACATCTTCACAGCTCTACATGCCACTTCTGTGCATCATGTCATACTTATCGGCCTAATAGAGTGATGACACGTGCTGAGATGCTTGCGCATGTGGATGAGACAGTTTGCCGCCCGGTACCTAGACCGGGAGACTTGGGGGTAGCAGCAACTAGAGTAGCGGAGGTCATGGACTTGCACTCAGAGAAGCGGAAGAGGGCTGAGATACTTCAGGAGAATGTCAACCTTTTTGTACCAGTTGGAGAAAGAGGGAAAGGAGGCAGAACTGGACAGGAACTAGCACTGCAAGCACCTGCTGGGGCTCTTCTCAGACTGAAGCGTCACTACTGTCGCAGAGTGTTCAACACGCACGTCCAGGCCATGCGGAAGCACTGTGAACAGCATCTAGCGGAGGATGCAGTCAAGATATACAAGGTGAGAAGATCCGGGATGCTTCGGCCTGAACATCACCAGCCACTCCCTACGGGTGGGCTCAATGGAGGAGCAGACGCGGCGATGCATGAAGTGGAAATACCAGTAGCAGCAAGATGCACTGGAGAGAGGACAGGAGAAAAAGGAATTCAATGCAGGCACTGTAGAAAAACAAAATGGAACTACAAAACGGCAAAAGTGCAAGCAAAAGCAATTGTAGTGGGAAAATGGAGGAAACATGAGGAGAGATGTCGAGGAGGACAAATATAATTAAATCTGCACACCCGTCAGTAAACAAGACTGGGTATATCATCATCATCATCATTTTTGGCTCTTCAGCAGCCACTCACGTCTGCCAGTTTTCCTGGCGGGCCCGCACCTAACCTAACCTAGTTCGCAGATGATCTTCGTGTTGAATACTAGTCGTGTTGAATACTGTCTTTACAAGGATTCGCAATGCAACATTCTCTTGAAGAAGATCTTGTTCATGTAGTTCAATCGCATAGGTGGCACCAGTTCTTATTGTATGTAGTTCAATCGCATAGGTACCAGTTCCTATTGCATAAGTCAGTGTCAGTGTAAGACACCATCTGTTGTTCTTTAGTTCTGATGATGACTGTCAGCAACTCGTTTTGAGAAAAATGACGGAACAGGAAGAACAAGCTGCTCATGCTCGAACAGGAGGAGCGCAACAAACGGAAGCGGCATCTTCTAGAATAAAGAGAAGGTTCGCGGTGGGTGTCGCGGTCGGGGTCAGCTCTGATGAGCTAGAAGTGGAACTGTCTGAGGCCGACACAGTGTTGACGCTGAAGAAAAAGCTCCTTTCACCGATGGCGAAACACTTGGAGAAGCAATTCCTTCCTGTGAACGTCTTGACCATCATCTGCGACGATCAGCCCATGATGGTCGAGGAGTCCCCAGACACGTCTGAAGGAGCAGAAGACCACGCAGATGATGCTGGAGTGGCCACTGGGATACTAAACGATGACGTTGTGGTCCAAGATTTTCTTACTGCAGTTTGTGGTGTAACCGTAGTAGGTGGAGAGGACGGTGGAGGTCGTGGATACTGCGTTATCTACAAAACAGAAGATGAGGCTACAAAACTATCAAATTTTTCAAAAGGAGAAACTACAGCTGATGATGATGGAGCTGTCGGAGCTCAAGCTGTAGCTGCTCCTTCGCTCTTCCGAGTTTTAGTAAACTGCAGTCTATTCGAGAAGTCGCGCGATCAGTATTTTGGGCTAAGTTTAAAAGACCCTGTCAACTTCGAGTTTGGGCCAGACGGTTCCCTTCCACCTCTGCTCGAACGGTGTCTCCAGGTTCTCGAGAGTGGCGTTGCCTTTCGACCTCGTAGTACAACTCCTAGAAGTACAGGAAGAAGGGCTGCTCTGAACAAGGCAGAAGTGAGACTCTACGAGTTTTTCTTTCAGTGTTTTTCATCTTTGGATTATAAAACAACTCTTGAAAGTTATAGCAGAAGGTGTGCTGCAGAGGAGGATCTTCTTCTTCATAATAAGGGGCGAACCCAACACCAAGGCGTCAAACCCCAAGACGCCGCCAATCAGGCCAAGAGTGGGAAGTTTCCTCCTACGGTAGTTCTTTCTCACTTGGTTTTGAAGCGCTGTCAAGAGAAGCTCCGCGCCTTGCTCGATACTCTTACCGACAGCGACCAAACAGGTAGATTATGTCCGGCCGGTCTGGTGAGTATCATCAATACGGATATCGTTCCGGCCATCGAAGCAGCTTTGATCATGAGGCAAGGACAAGAGGGGGAGAATATTACATCAAGAACATCAAAATGCGACGGCGACTCATCCTCTTCATTCTCTTCGTTAGAACGTGCGGCACAGGGTTTGAGCACGTTGCTGGAAAAGCTGGGCACACTGCAAAATGCCATATCTGATATTAAGGCTACCGCTCAAGTATCCCCCGTATCGATCATCCTTGGCCCCTTTTCTACTTGAAAAGAGGGCAAAGGATGCACTCAGGAATGCTAAGGCGGTAGCTCTAATAATGAAAAAGACTATCGCTTTGTGTCGGATGTTGGAGAGCTCTCCCGCATCAATCATTTGCTCAACGGGTGCCTCTACCAATGCGACCAGGCGACAAGTTTGCTCAATTTTCTTCTACAAGATTCCATATGCACATAGGAAAATAACCGGTCGCTCCTGCTCATCAGGAACTATTATAAAGAATCTACATCTACTTCATTCAACATAAGGTACCTGGCGCCCCTTCTGGGTACATTATCATCGTCATCATTGTCATTGTTTTCTTTATCACAACAAAGGGACTTTTTTATCATACAAAAGCTATACTAGGTGCTGTGACTTGATCATATTTAAATGCGGCTTGCGTGTGGTCTCCGCTCAGTCATAACTCCGTCATTCCAATGAGGAAAGCATATACTTCTTCGTGCCTTCTTATTTCAACTGAGAGTCATCTCTTCCCCTTCCTTCAACTAAACTAAATGTGAGCAACCTTCATTGCAATTGTTCTCGAGTATTCTTCCTCTTGTGCTCTTCCTCTTCTCTCTCAAAGACGAGTGTGTTGGTGTTCGAAAAAAATAGCGATGAAGGCGAACTGAGTCTACTCCTGAGGCGCAATAGTACTACAGCACTCGTCTAACTCCTAGTTGTCCTACTTCGAGCAGGAAAGAACAAGAAAGTAAGACTAAGAAGTACAGAGATCAGCAGTCGTTGTGGAGAAAGGAGCTCGATAGGAGGTCTGCAATAAGATCATTTTTCACTCAATTATATGATCACCACTTGGAGCGGTCCTTCAAGAGCAAGATCATATTACACGAGGATTAGATCTTGTTCCTTAGTAGACATTATTTCAGTATAACGTCTCGACACTTTTGTATTCATAAACGCAAAAGTGGCTTGATGATTCACTTCTACAATCTCGACATAATTGATAGTATTCGATGGAACAGCGAACAACTCTGTTACTAATGCTAATTACAACAGGACATCAAAGAAGAAGTAGGTGTAAAGCCGGTTTTAAAATCACTATGTATAAGATAAAGAGGTCAACAACATTGTATTGTAAGTCGTTTCAGTCTACTGAAGGTTTAGCGAAGGTTTTGCCTGAATGTCGTCCTCAAGGCGAGCTCTAGAACATTAGTGGAAATGTAGGACTATGTCTTATCATTGATTTCCATTTAGAAATTTGAAACTACAAAATGGCATCCGCATGTTCGAGTTCTTGGCAGCCCTTCTCATGGGTCATGAACAACGGAAATCGAAATGGTCAACATCTTCATACAACGAGCCATAGAAAAGGTCCTCCTCGTTCTCCTCCGACGTTCCTCCCGACCCATGACGACGTGATATACGAGAACCTGGAAGCTCCTAGATCGCTCACTAGTGCCAATCTCCATCATATGAATCACGTGCCGAACAACTATCTCGCTTGCTGTTCGGAATTTGACTGTTGGAGCAATGGTGACAGCTTGGCTTTGCGGACGTCCAGCTCGTCATCTGCTTCAAGGATATTCGATACTGGCCGACTATTTCGATCCACAAATGATCATACGACTATTTTTAACGCCAGTCTCAGTCACCATCAAACTCCTGATGCAAACGTCGATGTTGTAGACAGGGGAGGAGGTGGAGGTGTCCACGGAAGTGCTAGTGTAAACGGAGGAAGTGCTACTAGTCTAAACAGAGGAAGTGCTAGTGCTCCTGCTGGTGTAGTCCCAGATAGATTTTTCGTGAATGGTATCGATACACGCAGTTTGAAGTCTCGATGGGCCGACTGCCAACAACTGGAGAAATGCAGGCTCTTATCATCCTCTTCAGTGGGAACCACGGACTCGGTAGTGGCGAGATATGAAAGTGGCCACATTGCGGTTGTGATGATGCCGCAGAAGTCTACTCAGTCTCAAAAGGTGAGAGGACACCACGGACAGCAAGAGGATGACGAAGACGTAGTACACGACCACAGTATGATCTTCAGCGGTAATAGAGACAACGAGCAGATCATCAATGAAGAGGGTGACGAGGATGAAACAGGAAATATGAATGGAGTTGGCAAGAAGACCTCCATCTCCACCTCCGCCGAGTCGAACTCCGAGCCTTACTTATTTACGACCCGAGTTGCGAATTTACGAGGCATAGTGACGGATCCGCATGGAGAGCAAGCTGGTGCGGCAGTGGCACTCTGCGATTACGGGATCGTGGATATCGGGGATTGCGTCTTCTTTCAGCAGCCGAGTTATAAACAGAGTTCCCTTCGCATATCGGACCGCAGTCTCACGGTCCCTAGGTCTGGCTGGCAGGAGGACTTCACGCAGGGTTGTTTTTTCGACGGCTACAGTCGCAGCATGCTACTAACTGGCAGTGACGCAGGTGGCATCTACATCTACGACGCTCGGGACCGATCTGTGCAGCCGTGGTATCCCGGATACGTGAGTGGTGGGTACCCGAACTTGACGACGTCGTCGCAGCAGTGTGGAGCATCCAAATTTTGGGCAAGAAACCCAAAGAACTTGAGGAATTGTGGTGGTGGATTCGGACCGATAACGGCTTCTGGAGGCGGCCTTAGTGCTGGAGGCGGCCTTAGTGCTGGAGGCGGCCTTAGTGCTGGACGTGGCCTTAGTGCTGGAGGCTTGGCTTCCATATTAGGAGCCTCGTCCATTCTCGGAGCAGGCGCTGCTCCTTCTGGAGGAGCGGCTCCTGGTGCTTCCAACGTTTTTGGCACCGTTCCTTCAGTCGCAGCAGGAACAGGCAATGCTCCTTCGAGGAATGAAAAACCTAGGATGGTTGCTCGTATAGTATCTGGCTCTGCAGCACCATCGTCATCGTCTTCGTCCAGGAGGCCAACCACGGACTCCTCATCCAATCATGGTTCTAGTACAAGAACTTCTTCTACAACGACTTCGTCGACTTACTTCGCCGTTCTCTCTGAAGATGCCACTCCGTTGCAGGGCTATAAGACTGACACGCCACCTGTGTGGAAGTTGTCTGTGATCGATGCTCGATATCGTCGAGGACCGTTGATGGCTATAACCCTGCCACCAGTAGGATCGGAGCACATGTTTACTGTGCCATCCATGCCAAGACTCGGTTGGCTGGATCGAAGAACGGGCTACTATGGCTTGAGATGTGGAGCGGACTCTTCCTCGTCTTCTTCATCTTCTTCTTTATTTAAGGGTAAGTAGGTTAAAGGTGCTTTTCTTACCGCTTTTTATGCCTCTCCTAAGAGAGAAAGGCATAAAAAGCGGGGTAAGCAAGCACCAAGAACCTACCTCTAATTTATCAATCATCACTGCTCTTTCTGCTGCTCACGTGGCGATGGTGCCAGTGGACTGTCAGAGGGGACAATTTCACTCGCCACAGGTGTTGCCTTGGGATAGTACTGCGGGTTTCGATTTTAGAGATGAGCAGGTGAAGGAGTACAGGAAATGCGATGACAACATTTTTACAAGTTCAACATCTTCCTGTTCTAAGGATGACGAACAAGAAGATGTTTTTCGAACCAGTCGATGCGCTTTTCGTACTGTTGCGCTTAGCAGGCATCAAGTGCTGGCAGAGACGGTGTGGAAGAGGATGGCGAAGGGAGGACAGGATGTGAAGAAACGAACAACTACGGTAGAGTCGGATGTTGTAGATGAAGTGAAGCTAGCTGCAGAGGATGTCGAAGCGGCTTTCAACAAAAACAGGCCTCCTTCTACTTCTGAACAAGCTGCGCCTAGTACTGCTGCTAGAACAAACAAAGAAGCTCCACTCTTCTGCTATCCCGACACGAAAAGGCAATTCAGTTTTAGGGAACAGAGGCTAGCGGAGGCAGAGTCACAAAAGCACATTAGCAGAACGGACAAAGCAGATGGATCTTGCCCATTGCCTTTGTCGGTCCGCGAGTTTTCTTGTGGCGTTGCCAGGTTCGTGGCGGAAGGAGACGAGCGCAAAGCCACACTCGCCAGATTAGAGGACTTCAGAAAAAAAGCGATGAAAATGGTTGTGACGGGAGATCAGGAGCCAGGAGATGACGATCATCGTGCTGATCATGAAGATAAAACTCACGATCAACGTGCTGATCATGTTGAAGATATGGAGGGCACATCACCAAACGAGCATGAGGTGGTCTTCACATCTTTCCTCAAAAAAGCGCGAACGCAACTGAATCGAGAGACACTTTTGACTGCGGCTTTGCTTCGTTTGTGCAGAGAGGGAAAGGAGGTGGAGCAAACCGCATCCTTGGAAATGGAAACGATGAAGAATTATGAAGAGGAGAAAGACCATGGGCATGGGCCAACTAAAGATCATGGGCATCAGCCAGCTGGTACTCGAACTGGTGACAACAAGTCAGCATCCATCGTCAGCACGACATCAAAAACCGGTACTGGTACTAAAGGAGAAAAAAATAGCAAGCATCATCAAGTACCAGATTGGGCAGCTAACTCACGTGTATTCCGAAACGAGCATCCGCTTTTCGCCGAACCCAGTAGTGACCCATGGTGTCATCCCACTGAGAAGATACGGCATATTGTGCGCTTTTCAGCTGTTTCTGATCTACTTCAGGAATTCGATTTTTTGATGGTTATTCTTGGAGACGATCACGATGACGATAAAGAAAATATTTCTTGCTTTATAAAGCACGATCTCAACGGTAATGAGACACCAGGTCCGACGAGTGCCGCTCTTGTAGATCAGCCAGCGCTTTTAGATGGAGACCACAAAAGAAAACGCCGCCTCGACCAAGAAAAATGCCGCCTACAACTTCTATCGGATTGCATGTTGCGAGCTGCAGACCTGTGCGAAACTGAGTCTAAAGATGTGACACTGAAAAATCGCGCAGTCCTAGCAGACCTGGAAGAAGAGCATTTGCTGCTTTTCGATGAACGCTATGCTACAAGACCGAAACGGCGAAATAATAGAAGAGATCACGGGTTTGGAGAAGAGGCTGATATCAGAGGAGGTGCTTCTTTTAGTGCTGGTGCTGGTGAGCAGAGTCTCGGGAACATGTTGAGGACAGGAGCTCAAAAATCTTGTTTAGGTGATGAACAACATATTACCAGTGGAGGCAGAAGTACTTCTAGCACTTTCATTACTAGAGGAATGGTGAAACGACGTCAGCAGGAAAACCTTCTGACTGTCGAGGAAAAGACGAAGCTTAATGCTAAATCTCGCGGTCTCCTACGTAGGTTAAACCCTCATAGAATGTTTACTGACGGAATCATGGTCAAATACAGCGACGTCAAGCTAGCGAAACGAGCGGCAACAGAATTGCAGGAGCTTGAGACACCTCATTGGCGGTTTGCGACAGGAATGAACTACGAAGACCAACTTGTTGATCTTTCGAGGAGCAGGAAGTCGTGGAGGACGAAGAGAAGTAGAAAAAAGGAGGAAGACGACAAGTACAAGGTCAACTTCTCTGGTGGGAAACAAGCTCTAGGTCCGTTGACAACTTTTTTGCAGAAACGCTCTGAGAAGATGCCAGCTGCTTTGCGATTCCAAGAAAACGAGGAGAACGGTGGGTCCTTTCCGTCAAAACCATCTGATTGGTACAGTGAGAGTGAAGATGGGGATCATCGTGAAGTTGACGGTACTTCTAGCATGTCTTCGTCAGAAGATGATGAAGAACAAGAAGATAGTTGTGTAGGAGAACAACGAGCACGAAGTAGAGATGAAAAGCTACTTCCAGCAGACGACGACCACGATGAGAGTCATCGTGATCTCCCTGCAGCTAAGAGGCAGAAGCAAAACCTCCAAGTGGAACAACAAGTTGTAGAGAAGTTAGACGAGAGCAGTAGCTTAGTACAACTTCCAGAGACTAGGCGAGTCTCAGACGCTATTTCTCTACTAAGCAGCCAAGCATCATCGGATCATTACCCATCTCCTTTACCTAGACCTCGAGACGCTACAACTAGAGAACAAAGTGTGCCGTCTTCTAGTATGCCAAGAGCGGGGCCACCTACAACTACGCATAGTACTATGCCAAGAGGGTCTACTAGTATGCCACGGGGCCCGAGTCTCCAGCGCGGTTCTAGCGTTCCAAGAGCAAAAGGAATGGGTAAAAAAGGCGGAAAGGCCCTACCACCAGGTGCGAGACCTAGGGGGTTCTAATTGTAATGTTCATGATTGTTTTCTACTTTTAAAAAACTTTCCACAACACTAACTACTTTGAGCTGTTGCAAAGCGTACAGCAACGGCAAGGACTATGTGGCGTTATACATAGTAATGATTTTTATGATCGATCCCCATTTTCTTTTTCCAACATTTTTTCCCCCCACCACGCACTCTTTTACGTTGATGAACAAAAGGGTTCTACACCCACTCGCGAAGAAAGTTTGGTAGTTGGTGGTTGTATCATTGACTTTGACACTACCAAAAGGGTTCTACAACTACATTTTTGCTACAATTGCTGGTGTTCACATCACTCGCACGTTCCGTTCTTTTATTCAAGAACAAACCGAAAGTAGCCGTTGGTGTGCGCCTCAGAAAAGATCATCAGTGTGCTAGTCAGCTACGCGTTGCAACATCAGGTCAGATCGGTCGTGGTAGTAATCAGGAAAAGCAAAGGAAACAAGATCTGGATGGTGCGTGTACTAACGTGACGATCCAAAGTTGATCTTAAAGCGTGAAAAGAGCTTGTCCTTGTTGGGACTTCTGGAAGGATGACTTGTGTATGGTTTCTTAAAAAAAGGTAAACAGTCTACTTCTGAGTTAGGCAATAGGACTGTGATTCACTAGTAGGTATAGAAATGTTGAGTCGTGCTCTACCTCGCCACTGGCCAGAGCGCCACGTGGTCTCCTCATTCTTCCGCTCTCGCGGACGAAAAACCAAAACCTTTTTAGTACTAGAGCAACGAAAAAGTCACTTCTCAACAAGTGGTGGCGCGTCAACAAGTGCAAGTGCGGCACATGCAGGTGTAACAACTGCAGCAGGCTGCGCGACCTCAACCTCATGTACAAGTAGCACAAGTTCTTCATCTACGTCTTCATCATATTCGTCCTCCTCCTCAAGTACCTCTCTTTCTACGTCGTCCTCATCCGCCTGCTCATCCGCCTCCTCCTCATCCGGTGCTCCGTTACCTATTACCGCAAGTACCTATGCCTCAGTTAGGCAGGATGTTCTTGAGGCTATCGAGGAGTGTGAATTCGTTGCATTCGATATGGAGTTGACCGGTTTGCATAGATTAAGGCTACATTTTTGTAGCACTGAATAGTAACATTGATTGAATTGGTATAGTACAACTCTTGAATTATTAGTTTTTCATTGTAAGTAACAAGAAATCCATCTTCTTCAACATGATCTTGGTCCTCCCGTTTTCCATCACGGAAAAATAAACGGGGGAACCAAGATGCTCTAGTCCAGCATGTTGGATTTCTCTGGGAACCAAGATGCTCTAGTCCAGCATGTTGGATTTCTCTTAGTTCTAAATAGAATGACCACTTCCCGCTTTGTCGGTGTACAGCAAGCCTACGACGCGCACGCGCAAGGAGCCAAGTACTTTATGCCGGTGCAAATGGGGTTGTGCATGGGCAGAAGGAGAACAACCGCCACTTCTTCTTCTACAGGAGTAGCTAAAAATAGTGGAGATCATTCTACCGCTAAGAATAGTGGAGATCATCTTCATGACGGTCCAAAGACGACAGGTAGTGCAGCGAATGACACCACGACCACTAACAGCAGTACCACAACAAAGACGACTTGGGAGCTTTGTCCTGTGTCTATTTATCTCTTCCCCTCGCACGAAGAGCGCAATGTCTTGCTCTCGACGGCGACCGTGAAATTTCTCGCCTCAAATGGATTCTCCTTCGACACGTGGGTCCGCGAGGGGTGTGCCTGGTTACGTCCAGGCGAGGAGGAACATGAGAAGTCGGCCATTAGAGCGCGAATAGAGGAGATAGAGCAACTCCGGAAGGCACAGATGCGGCACTGGCAGAGTGGAGGTTCTGACGGAACTAGTCGTGGCGGAGCAACGACAAGTGGGAATTACATTAAGGAGAATTATCAGTGGGGTTTTTAAGTAGTTGAATGGGAGGCAGCATGTAGTCCTATGGAAAAAAAAAAGATTATATGTTTTTGGTATGGTTTTGGTATTTGGTAACCTGAATTTGATCACAAGGATTCTCTTCTTGTTTTCCTTATGATCAAAGTCAGGCTATCAAATACCAGAAGTGCCGGAAGGAGTTGGAGGAGGTTGTCTGCATTAATTAATCAAATTGGAACATCATCATCAAGGATTCGTAGACGTATGATAACTCTTTTTTTAACGTAAAAATAGATTCATACAATGCACTTCGACATTTACAGTCCTCGTTCGTCTAATCCCGCTGGTCGTGGTGCATCTGCGGGATCCTCCACTACGCCAGTTCACGTTCCCGAAGGACCTGATAAGGAGATTGTGGAGAAAGTTCTGGCTTCGATTCGAACTTGGTTGGAAGAGACGTCGTCGCAATCAGGAGAGAGATCATCAAACAATCATGTAGTTGACATTAAGGGTACAAGAAATCTTCCATTTTCAGAGGCATCTTCTTGGTCCCGTGTTTAAAGGGAAAAGGAGACAGCCCAAGATGCTGCTGAGGATGGATTTCCATTATAGTTCTAAGGACAAGAGTAAGACTGAGGCCGACGCGGCAGCTACTCGTGGTGGCATTGAGCAGGGTGACAACAGCGCATCTTCTACATCCTCTACAACATCTACTTCTACGAGTACAACGTCTACACCTCCTACGAGTACACCTTCAACGACAACCAGCATAGACGGTCAAACTTGCACCCAAGATTCTCTGCAGATCCCCATGGAAAACGCTTTTCAGAGATTACTGCTGCACACATTGATCGCACAGGAGTTCCCGTTTCTGTATTCACAATCTACGAGGACAGAGCACGGCCGCTTTCTGTCGATCTTCAAGAATCAAAAAGACGTCTACGAAGGGCAGTTAAAGCATCTGGCGAAGGAAATTTCTTTAGTCGAAGCGAGACGTGGAGTAAGGGAGTTATTGGATGCGATCTCGAAGTCTGGGAAGCTACTGGTATTAAGGCGTGGTCCCCTAATGGTCCATCTTCAGATAGTGTGATAAGTGAACAGGCCAATGCCTAAACCACTAAGCCAACTAGTTGTCCTAGTGGTTGGCTTAGTGGTTTAGGCGTTGGCCTGTTCACTTATCATAGTGCATGATCTTGGAAGAGCTGTTCTCCAGCCATCAAAGAGAGAGAGAAAAGCATAAAGATGCACCGTCTTAAAATGGGGATAGGGGTCAGCGCTAATGGTTGGACATAACTGCTTTTACGACGTGTGCCATCTGTTTCAGACGTTTTACGCTGACTTGCCGGATAACACGAACACTTCGTCTGGGAATGGGATCACACATGGGAATACAGCAAGAATTGCAGAAGACAATAGTGCGGAGAGGACTCCTGAAGCGGCTGCTGTCTTTGGAAGTGGTATCAGCAGAGAGGACTTCTTACCTTCGTTACAACTTTTGTTTTTCAAGAAGAACAGACTAGAAATTATCTTCAGTTACAAGAACAATTCATATTCTAGATGAAGAAGTAGCCAAGTAGTTGAAGATTGCATGGATTCTCCCCAAAAAAGGTTTACAAGCAGAAAATTTACCTCCTGCCTTGGTTACAGCAGCTGGCGGTGGCACGGTCGCTGAGTTCAAGCGACAATTTAAGGCGGCTCAGTACCCTCCTTGTAATTCATTTCCACAAATCCCCCAAACGTTAATAATTCCATTTTATTGATGTGTAGAAGTTTCCTTCTACGTGTTCTGCTTACTTGGACCATAGTCATGTGAATACAAGTTAGAAATGCAGAACAACAATTGATTACTAAAAAAATGAACTATAATTTGTAGAAATGAACTATTTTAGAGTAGTTTATAGAACGGATGTAGGATGGACTTGGATGGATCGGATGGATCGGATGGACCCCCCTGATTCTTCCGATCCTACTGGAAATGGTGNGGACTTGGATGGATCGGATGGATCGGATGGACCCCCCTGATTCTTCCGATCCTACTGGAAATGGTGGGAAGTCCATCCGTTCCATCCGATCCATCCCATCCCAGATTTGGCACCCCTATAAACTGCTCTACTATTTGTAGTTGTTTTACCTCCTCTTTTTCAAGCCCACCCTCACTTCTCTAATAACGGGCTTCAGAGATTCAAGAAAACAGTGGATACAAAGTATATGTCCGATGCGCATGACCTGTTGTCTGTGCTTTCGCCACCAAGCAGTCTCAGGGATCTCTGTGACTTCATGGTCTCCAGCTGCATCTCAAAAGATTATGATCGCGCTGTTCGAGTTTCATTGTAGAGAAGAAGGTAGAGATACTCAGTTTCAGAAACTCACTCTGACAGAAAAGACGTAGATAGTTTGTACACAGACTTTCTTCAGTCTGACGAGGCATAGACATAGATTAGATTGCTTATTATCCACTTTCCCGGAGGGATCCCGTATGATCCAGTTCCACCTCTAAAGAAGGATGCAATTGGACGTACGCAGTCTGACGGGTGGCAGATATGGATTCCCCTACCATTTTCAAAAGTATCTTGCCCGGGACAGTACAAGTTGTACTACCACGACTACAACTATGACAGAAAAAAATGTACTCATACTCAAGAAAAGAGGTTTTTCCTACTTAGAAAGTGCCTACTTTCTTGAGGATGAGTACACTTTTTCGTTTCATAACAACCAGTAGTAGTAGAAGTACGACCGCACGTTTGGGCGAATTTTCCCACGATGCTGGTTACGACAGCCTACTGACAGCGTTGACGTTTCTGTTTCAAGCGCAGCATATCTTAGAGAAGAAGTCTCTGCGATGGTCCGAAGTGCCGCACATTGAAAGCCTCTTTCAGTTATGTTGAATTTCGAAAAAGTATTAAAAGAGTGTCAGTCTCAGGAGGACAGCCAGGTCGTGGTGTTTAGTAATACGAGAGTCATTTTTGTGGATTTCGTGTTCAATACGCAATACGATTACGTAGACGTCGTGGAACATTCTGTCTCGTCTTTTAGTTTTATTACAAGAAGATTCGAACTCGATATAGTATTTTGATTTTCCGAAAGAACTACACGTTCACGCCTTTTCTACGCATGATGTAAGGCGTTCCTGGCCATCTTGATTATATTTATTACAGAAGCAACTACAAGAACAACAACTTCATCTCCACGACCACCCTCTAACCCACCTTTCCTTGAACAAGATTCGCTTGGTGAAAACCACACCGAATGTAATCGACCTCAGTTCCCCCTCTGGTGATACGGCTGAAGGCCAGGCGAGTGCCGCAAGAAGACACTTCTATATGTGTGGCTATCAGAAGGGATGGCAAAGGTATTTTTCTCAACTCTTGAGGATTTGAATATTACAAGCAGGCTATAGATTTGAATATTACAAGCAGGCTCTACTCTTGCTGCTCCTCTAATGGGGTGGTATAAAGGTCTTTGTATTAGTCTCTTTATACATACGATTTGGTATTGCAATTGGTGTTGCGTTTATTTGTGGACGATGAGTTTTGTAGTGAGTTATTTAGAACAAAAACGCATCACATATTTTTAGTTGATGTCGTTTTCCACAGATTGCCAGGGCTTAGTCATTTTTGGAGTTTTGCCTTGGGTTTTTGATCTTGTTTCAGCTTTGGACTTTGACAAAGAAATACACACAAAGAACCTCTCACCTAGTACCTACTGTTCATCAAATATGCTTATGCATTTAATAAGTAGATGAACTACAAGATCCTCTACCCAACGTGCACCAACTTCTACAGATGGGAAATCCTACGCGTGTGGTCGCCAGTGACTGTTTCAATAAGTGCGGTGTCAGACACAGCTTGTTGGATTATCTGCCGCACAGACGAGGACGCGGAGAACCTGGAGATGATTTGGCATATCATCCAACAAAATCAAAAAGAAAATTATGGCCTCTATCAGGAGTATGTTTAACTACTAGAAGAATTCGCAGTTACCTCACATGAAACGATCTAGTTCTAGAACTAGAACTTCCTGCTTTTATCACGCGTAGAAGCATGGTGCTGAAGGCTTTTACACCTAGAAGTGATGGAAGATGACGTCCATTCATTCTCTAAGCAAATACGAAAACTCCGAAGTTTATGCTCTACAGCTACGATGAATACCGAAGAGAGGTCGCGTCCAAAGGGCGCTTGGGAGGCCAGGTTTTATGAGTCCGATCCAACTCGAGAACTTGTGAGAGCTGTGTGGCTTGACCTCGAAGTCAGCTACCATTTTGTCTCTACGGTAATCACGAGTGGCCATATCAGGAGCACTCACATGGCATGACGTGGCTTGCCGTCCTAGTCACTTAATACATTGCTTAGGCATTTTTAGTATGGTTATCATGGTTATGGCAACGCTTACGCTCAAGAACTACCTCAATGTCGCGATGTTGTGGAGTTGCTCTCTGAGTTCAATACGATATGGAGATGAAGGTGAAAGAATGATTCAAGATTCATCTAGTTATCTGATTTCTAGAACTTCTTCTATGTAGTGACGTCAAATCTAATGAAGTAGCACAACAATCAGTTATGGGTGTAATAACTACAACTGAGTTGTAAGCTGCAACAACAACAACAACTAGAACTACCAGTACGACATGTATCCGTACTATCTGCGGACGATAATTACTCATGGTTGTCAGAAGACGAAGAGGAAAAAACGGTTCAACCGCTGCCTTTTTTTTCATTCCGACCGCTTTATTTGTTTCTCTTGTCGGTTCGTGTCGTCGTGAACAGACGAGGTCGTAGAGATTCTCGGTTGTGTTTCCTGGCAACGTGAAAGATCGTTCTGTTCTTGTGCAAAAAAACTGAACCTCGTCGAGGTCAAGGAACAAATGAAAATCGTCGGTCCTCGTAGCGTTTTTTTCGATTTCGGCTTTCATCGTTGTAGCAAATTTTTCGGTTTCTCGGATGACGTGCTGTCGCGTTAATTCTACACGAGAAACCGAATTCTCTTTTTTCTTTCCACGACCACTAATTGAGGACTTGTACTTGTTCCATTTATGGAGTACTAAGAGGTAAGATTTTCTTGTTCTAAACTTGTTGTTCAAACGTCAACATCGGCATTTACATTTACTCCCATTTTAGACCCCCTTCATCATTGCCCCTACTTCTAAACCTTCATTTCTAGTTGATCTTGATCTTGAGTTTACTGCTAAGTTCACCTACTAGAATTGCGGAGGCCTCGTCTTTTATTTGAAATTTATATCTACTTAAGTCGTCATATAGTTCCTCTGACTAGAAGCAACAAAAAATGGACGCGGAGGACCGTACGGAGCGCTGTAAAGCAGGTGGTCTTGTAGCCTCACCACCTCCTCCTCCACCGAAATCAGGCCTTTTGACACGCCTTTTGGACCAAAGAAAAAGTGTTTCTTGGGCGCGGTCAGTGGCTAGTGATTTTTACCAACTGGCTACGGGCACTGCAGGACAAGGGATTCCCGCAATGAAGGAAAAGGACCTGTTGCACAATCTGATATTAAGACACACGGAGGTTGAACTTAAAGTTGATATTTCGTTGTAGTGCATGAAGATGAACTTAAAGTTGATATTTAGTTGTAGTGCATGAAGATGAACTTAAAGTTGATAGAGAAAAATAAAAGAGAAGATGAGGAAAAAGAAAAAGATAAAAAATTGATGTCGATTCATTGTAACAAAACTACGCTGTAGTACATAATCTAATATTAAGGAAGGTCTTTGAACTTAAAGTTGATGTAGTAAGTAACTAGGTGTATGTTTGTGTTTTTTTGAGTGATGTTGTTGTAGATCATATTATCTAGAAGACATCACAAGTACAATATAGTCCCAAAAATAAGTCTAATCTGAGTGCTCTTCTTTGATGCTGCGGACGACGCAACAGTACTAGCCGACAACGATGTTGTGATGGCAGTGAAGGGGATATTGGAGAAAATGGAAGAAGCTAGTGCTAGAGAGGAAAGACATGAAGGAAACGCCACGTCATCTAGATCTGCTGGTGGCGCTACCACAGCAGCAACTGTAGATGCTCTCGTGCAAGCATTAATTGGCGCCAGTATGGTCAAGGTGACCGACAAGAAAGATGAAGGTCAAGAACAAGATCTTGGGATAGATAGCGACGCTCAACAACGTGTAGAAGATGAAGATGATGCTGATGCAGATGCGGTTGGTGGTGAAGGAAAAGGTCGAAGACGGCAAAGCCTAAATGAACGTACTGCAGCTGGTGGAGGGGTTGATAAAAAAGTTGTTACAACAACTGCTCGCTCCCAGAAGGAGAAAGATCTAGCACGCGATTACTTTTTTCTTTTTGTGAAAGAGTTTACAACGATTGTTGCGAATGAGGTAGCTGTACTGGCTACCAGAACAAGTAGTACCTGTGCTAATGATGTTGAAGATGCCGAGGAAGCCAATGCCAAGAGGAAGAGCAGCACGACTACCACCACAAATAAAGCAAGTACTAAAGCAATGAAGAAGAGGAAGACAAAGTCCACATCCGGAGGAGAGGACGCTCGTGCCACTACAAGAGGGGAAGATCAAGACGGGGGAGATCATGACGATGAACAAGGAATAGGAGAGCGAAGAAAGCACGATGATGATGAACACCACAAGGAAAACTACAGCAAGATCCTTCCACTTGTGCACCTGTTGAATAGCTATGGGAACGTCTTGCAACTTCTTGCAGAGAAGTCGCCTAGCCCCGTTTGGCGGCGTCAAGCGTACCTAGGTTTGCGAGCCATTGTAGAAGGCAGCATCTTCTTTCCAAGACCACCATTTGACAATGAAAGTAGTGGTCTTCTGCAAAAATCAGGTTCGTCTTCTTCAAGTTCGACATCTACAAGTTGTTTGACATCTTCTGGTGCATCGTGGTCGGTCCTCTGGACCAACTTCTTTCCTTTCTACACGGAGCACGCGAGCAAAGACATCTTTCTCAAAATAAATCTGGATGCACTGTCGTGTGCTGAGACTTTACTGGTGGAGAATGCGAGACGTGTGGGGAAACTACAGCAGGGGAAGAAATTGCACGCAGACATGGATCTCTTAGGAAACGCATTGGGCATGCTGGCCGTGGTTGAAGAAGGAACAACGCCAGCAACTGCTTCTACCAAAATGGGTGTGATGAAACGAAAACGAAGCACCACGACCACACTGAAAAGAACGCGTCATGGTCCGGAGGACGACGAGAACATCAAACTCGAACGCGACCAGCAGCTGCTGACCAGTGACCAACTCAATCGCCTTCTTGGCATCGTGCTGCAATCCCTAGTCGATTGCAAGAACAGTGAGAACCGTTTCCAGGCACTGCAATTCCTGCGCAGAGTGGGGGATGGCGAATATGATGAGACTAGAAAAAATACTACTGCATCCAGGTCCACCAGAAGTTCTTGCGCTCCTACAGCAAGTACGACAATTTCAACTTCTGTTACTCTCCGCTCTCTTCTAGGCCTCTCTTCCTGCCATAAAGTCTATGAAGAGTTCGTGGAGTACTTCACTAATGCAGCAATTTGGAAGGGAGATAAAATTCATCATCCGCGCAAAGTTCAGAATCTTCAGAATGGAAAGAAACCAGCGGGGGCGGAGAAAGAAATAAATGAGAAAAACAAGAAGTCAAAGTCTCCTGAGGTGGATGCTCATGCTTGTGCTTCATCAAATAATAAAGACATCTCACAGTCACAAGAAAGCAGCACCTCAACATCCAAGGTTCCAATGAAGATCAAGAAGAAAATGGGACGAAGATCATCAACAGGAATCGCCGCCACGAGGCAAGAGCAAGATGACAAGAACGAGTCGCTGAAGAATGAGGCCGTAGAAGGACAAGGAAAACGACACGAACGAGCAGGTGAGGAAGATTCCCACGAAGTCGCAGTGCCACGACCAAGCTTTGGCTTGTTGCGCCTTTTGCTTTCTGTCGTTTACAATCGCTGCTTCGACATGGGAACGCTTACAGCATGTTCATCTTCTTCTAATCCTCTGCTGCCTCTCTCCACGAGCGCTCCCCACATCATGAATCAAATCGAATATCAACAACATCAGCAGATCCGCGTCACCGCGATTCAGGTGATCGCTGCCTTGTCTTGTAAGGTGTCAGGCGTCGACGTCTTCGAGGCTGGCGATAAGGAGCCTCTGTGCCGATTGGTCTTTGGAGAGTGCCCTTTTTTGGCGGCAGCAGCTGCCCAACTTCTGTGGCAACAGATCCGGGATCTGCATTTAGATGACGTCGGAGAGATTCTAGGACAAGAATTCGTGACAAAGAATGGAAGTGAACAAGATGTTGAATCCTTGAACATGCAGTTGCTGAACTTGATTTTGTTCGTGGAAGCGTATGTTGGCAAAGCCGTAGATCATCTTCTGGACGAGGCAAGAACTTCTAGAACTTGTCCAACAACCACAACCACCACTACTGCCAGTATCCTACGTCTAGTTGAGCGCCTGGTCTCTGGCTTTGTTGACGCTGTACCTATAGCTTTTTCGCAGTGCGTCTCCTTGAAGCAATTACTGCTGTTCTTACGACCGGCAGCCACGTCCGCAGCGGCGCTGTTACGTGCTCGCATTGCCTTGAGAATCGTCCGTGTGGCAGCACAAAGGGACCCGAAGAGCTCAATACTTGGTGGATCAGTGCTAGAAATCATGTCAGTGTCGCAGAGCAAGAACAATAAGGATCAACATGCTGGTCTTGGAGACGCAGATGGAGCGAAAGCGATAGACGGGGATAAGGATGTAGTAAATAATAATAAAGGGTTGCAACCACAACAAGAAGAGTTGCTTCATTTCTTACAAGGCTTTGGCACTTTTCTCACTACGTTTGACCAAGCGGGCATCGAAGACGGAAAGCAGGACTTGTTTCGGCTACTAGCTCGCGTGATCGTGATGTGCTCAGATGAGAAATTCATGCCAAGTTTCGTTTCTTCTACATCACTTTCACTTACTCCAGCGAACAATGCGCCTGGCCCTAGTGGCAGTAGCTGCAGTACTACTCGTACAACATCCAGTATGTCCTTGTTATCAGCCTTGCAATCTGCAGTTGAAGGTCCTACGTTGGCAGGTGTTTTTAGCGGAGCTGTGGAAAAAGCGGAAGCATCAAGCATGAACAAAAAGAACACCTTTTTTGCCGCAGCACATGTCGCGACGGTTTTTGGATCATTGCTGCAACGACTTGGAGCTTTAGCCAAAAATAGTGCTGGTGGAACTAAGAATGATACAGATACTCATGATGAAATAGTCTCAAATATCACACGTTCTTTCCTCACCTGTCTGAACCGCGAGTATCAAGCAGTGTCAGCAGCTGTGGGTGCAGAAACGCGAGCGCGTTCTTCATTGATAACCCCTTCTATCTCGTCAACTACCGCAAGCAACAACAACAAGTGCAACTTCGACAAGCTCGCTGCATTGTCTGCCGTTCCCGGTATCCATTTCCAGTTCGACTCCAGCGCGTTCCCGACAAGCCTCCAAGTTTGGCAGCACCAGCGTTCTCCGACTGATGCTGTGTGCGCATTGTTGGTTTTGTTCAACTTCTATGCCAACAACGTGGTTACACCCGTTGGAGGAGGCGAAAAAGGAGACTTCTCTAGTATTGGTACTAGTACATCTACTTCCGTTCTAGGTGCTTTTGCTGGCACGACGCACGCAGTTGCAGAGCAGAATGGCGCGAATATGAACAAAAACTTGATCGCTTTTGCCTGCGCGGACACGGCATCAACCAAAGCAGCTGTAAGTCGCACGGAGTTGTTGCGACTGTGCACTCATTTTCTTTGCGTTGATGGTTCATCTACAACGCCCAGCCCGACTGCAGTACTCAAATACACTTGTGTCGCACTTCTGTTGCTTCTAGAGGGGCGGATGGATGGTGGCGCAGTCTTAGATCCCGAACTATTGGAGGGAGCAAAGATGTTTGTAGCTTCAAGGTTGCGGAAAGCAGTTCGTGGCGCTCGACGACACAAACGGCTCTGTGAAGATGTTGAAGATGACATAGAGGATCAACAACTTGCTGTTGAACAAGATGTGGAGACGAAGAAAGAAGGGAAAAAACCACAACCCATGAGTGACGACGAAGTGTTCGACTTTATGTCTTGCGGTGAAGAAGAGGAGGCAAAAAAGATCGATGACGGCAGCAAAAAGACGGATGGCAAGAAGAAAGAACAACCCAAGCACGACAACGACGCTTCGAGGAACAGGAAACCTGTTCATGTACCAGAGGACTTCGAACTAGAAAGTCAGTTGTTGATAGCGAATTACTACGGTAGTTGGTCATCCTGCGGTGAAGGTATGCAAGAACATTGGAAAAGAAGCGGAAGCAAAAATAGAGCTGCTCAAAAGAAGAAGAAGAACAAATTATCTTCTGGTAACAACTGTAGTGGCAATCCTGGGTTGGCGTTGATGCATGGCACTCATTTTACTGGTCATCATACTGCTGGCGCACAGGCACACCAAGATGCTAATCCAATTCCGGTTTATTACTCAAACGCTGTAGGTTGCATCTTCGACTTGCTCAATGAAGATGACTTCAGCACTTCTAGTACTGAGAAAAATTACATCGACAATCACGAATCTGAGATTCCGATGCTTTCTGCTATCTTCTTTCTCGCGTCAGAACGTCTCGACAAGCCCCTCGGACAGGCGGTTTTCCAAGCAGTCCTCCAGGCTACTGGAGCAGCATCTCTTGTACCGTTTCCCTGGGTTGCTGCGGCATTGAAGTTCCTCACTAGTCGAGCTAAGAAGGCACAAAAGGTCGCGGAGTTTTTGGGCTTTACATTCGAAGTTTTGCGTGCAGAATTTCAAAGAGTTGTGGGAAAAATACGGAAAGAACAACTTCTACATCTAAATAATCCTGCTCCTTCTAAATCATCGTCTTCTTCCGATGACATTAACAACAAGATGACAACTAGAGCAAATCCGTGTCCGCAACCTCTCGATTGTGACGCTCGTTACGCCACACTCTTTGCGCAATTGCGGAAACTACCAGCTCTCTGGCTGAAAAACTACGGCATTCAACCTCCGAAACAAGACTATCCGGACTTTTACAGAGCCGTTCGACGCGAAGTCATGTCTCTTTCATCGCAGGATCATCGAGAGGTGCTTTTTCAAGAACATGACAGTCATCTCGGTGGTGTCTATCTAGGAGCTCTAGATGCCTATATCACGCGACTGCGTGAGGCGGAGCGACGAAGGATCTTCCAAGCAGCAGACGAAAAATGCGGACTGATCTCTCACGAGGTAAAAAGAATGTTCAAGACTCAAGTAGGAGTACTACAACGTGGTGATGAAAATAGTGGTATGATTTTTGATGGTATGCTGACATTGAACGAACAAGGGGATCTCTTTGACAATGCTGGTGTACAAGGACGAAAAGGAACCTCTGATGCCGATCACGAAATGTCGAGCTGCAAAAAGATGCCAACTGAGTCGGAAATTCGTGGTCTAGTTCTCTCTCAAGATGTAGATATCAACGCCGTGCTGGACGAAAATAACGAGCATCTACAATCTTCACAACGAGAGGCGACCTTTGGTGCTGGGCTGTTTTTGAGCCGCTGTCTTTCGTCAGGTGGCCGTGGTGCGGGAGGAGGAGGTGCTGCTAGGAGGAGTAGTCGCGGCGTGGATGGTGATGAGAACAAAGGACAGGGAGAAGGAGACCATATGTTCGACATATCCGGCATATTGGCTGCTGAAGATGGAAACGGCGAAACCGATCATGCCGGACAAGATCTTCAAGAGAATAAAAACAAGAGTCAGACGAGGACCAAGATGAATCTTAGTACGCCACTTGGTCCACCGCAGTTTGGAGGAGCAGGCTCATCCAGCAACGTCAAGATTTTATCCTCTACATCCAACAAGATGAACACGAGCAACACCAGCACTTCTAGCGCTTTCAATAAATCAAGTGGTAATCGACTTGGAGATGCAACTGAGTCCTCTATTCGTAGTAGTGGTAAAAAAAAGGAAAAGAAATCATCTACAACACCTACGTTTTCGACTCCGGCACCTCCTACAACTTCTGCATTTCTTAACTATACTAGTACACCTGGAGGAAATACCACAGGTAAAAGTCAGCACCAGCAAAGTGGCCTTCTTGAGACGATCAAAGAAGAATCGAATCATGCTTCCTCGTCTTCTGCGGAGAAGAATACAAAGTCGAAGAAACCTCGAACTGGTACGGCTGGGTCGTCATCCACCTCTAAAAACGACTCTAAGATGAAAGCTGCCTTGGCAGCTAACCTCGCAGATAGTAGTAAGGACGAAAGGATGAAGAAAGAAGAAGCTGCTAAGAGTACTAAGAAGACAACCAATAAACGCAAAGTGGTCTTTGAAGATTTAGAGGATGATCTCTTAGCAGATGACGATGTTGACGATGTCGCACCACAGCCACCGCGTAAAATCGAGAAGAAGTCCACCTCCAAGAATAAAAATGCTAATCCCAAAAATGCGAGTTGTAGTGCAAGTGTCGTGATAAAAAGCAAGTCGGGGAATACTAGTAAAAAGGAAGCTTCTTCATCTACGTCTTCCTCTTCTGTCGCAGTTATTAACCCGTCTTCATCTTCTACTGCTTCTGAACGTGAGGAAAAGGAAAGCGCTCTGCCTCTGGCTGAAGCAGAAGATACCCAAAATATAGGTCAAAACGCGACATCTTCCAACGTCAAAAAGGCTCGCAAAGTCGCTACTCAAACAAGGAAGATAGTGATCAATTCCCCACATAAGGTTGGCGCTGGAGGTGCGTTCACCTACGCTGAAGAGGTTGCAATCCAAGTCATTGAAGAGCAGGAGGAGGTGCATCATCAACATGATCAGGAACAAGGGAGTAGTACTAGTAGTAAGAAGAAGAACGATGAGGATGACCCCGTTCCCATTCGTGTCGACAAGAAAACAGTAACGACAAAGTCCAAGACTAAACAGCAACATTTGAAACCAGTGAGCTCTGCTATCAAGATGAAGCGCAGGGCAAGCGCAGAGCAAGATGGTGCACAATTCAAGCGAATTTCCGCACCAAAAAGTATGTACGATAAGGTGAAGAAGAAGGGGAGTAAGAAGTGAGTGGCCTCCTCAAGTGAATTTTGCTAGTATGCTAACACGAACAGACGAAAGATCAAGAACATGAAAATGAATAAGAATAAGTAGAGAGTTGGAGAAGACAAACTACTTCGTCGGTCGAATAGAACAACAACAAAGCGAGTACTTACTTTTGTCTTCCACGAACATAAATGCAGTTGTTTCGCTCGAACAAAATGCCCAGATTTTGATTTCCTTCGAGAAGTCATTTGATATCCAAGTAAGTCAAAGTCATATTATACCGATATTATAACAGAATGAACGAACGCCATATCATCAACAGACTAGGTCAACATCAAAATCATGCAGTGCCACTGTGAATTTTAGTTTTAGTAAGAAATAGAAGAACTGTTTTTGCGTTTCTTGCCTATCTTCATGCTTCGCGATAAATTAGCTAGTAGCAGATGAATTACAACAAGTAGCAGAGAACTGTATTTTTTTGAAAGTTAGAGTTGAAGTCATTTTTTTGCAAAACAAAAATGAGTTAGAAGATTTGTATTGCACTTATCGAAGGAACGAGAACAATCAAAAGTGAAATTTTTACAGAAAGTCAAGCAGTTGTCTTTTTTCGCAGAAAGGGGGTATGTTCATGTTGTATATGTGACCGGCACATACACATATGGGTTAAAAATGAATAGTCGACAAAAAACCGGAATTGTACAGCAACGAGGTTTGAATTGCAGAACTCTTGAATATCTCTACTTCTCTAAAAGACGCCTCGCAGATAAGCCGCTGCTCCTTCAACAGAGAAAGACACCTCTAGCTGATCGATATAGATGCAATGCTATTTGAAAACAAAATTATATGGAGAGCACTCTTACTGCCCCTACGAGGTTGAGGTGGATAGGTGCTGCTGTTCCACGTTTTCATATACTATGGAGCGTCTGGAAATTAGAAGTGCAAAAAGGTCAAAGAGGCCGTTTTTGTTTTTCGTCACAGTTTGTTGTCGAGAAAAAAAAAGGCAAATGATGTTGGTAGGAACAATCCTCGGTTTGATATTCTTATGAATCTAGTGGTCGCTGGATCTTCGACGTGTGTAAAATATATATGCATGAGGGAGCTCGTTTTCATAGCCATGGTCGTTCTGAATAAACAGTTTTAGTATTTCGTGAAGAAAGTCGTCTTGTTTTTGTTTCGAGCTGATTACATCTCGAGCCGAATGGAAGCTGCAAACTTGAACTAGGAGGACGTCGAACTTATTACTCTCGCACTCTTCAATGTCGATAATAGGACAACAACTTCATCAGGATAAAAAGATAGAAATCGCATTATTTTTTTTTTGAGAAAAATGGGTCCGCCCAATGCTACTGCAACGCTCGGCGGCTCGTCTGAGCCCACACGGGCAGCAGCAGGAGAACAAGCCTCCGTCTCAGCAGGAGACCATACTCTAGTCGCAGGAACAACTGAGCAACAGCAGCCCTCCGAAGAGCAGGACGCGCAGATGAATGACGATGTTGCTCCATCTCCCTCCGAAGAGCAGGACGCGCAGATGAATATCGATGTTGTTCAAAAAGAACTAGAACAACCATCTCTTCGAGTAGAAGATCCGCAGTCTTCTAGTACCACGTCAACTTGTGTTTTCAAGCAGAAAGAGGCTCCTGAGCTACCTCCTACTTCTGTTCTTGAGCAGAAAGAGGCTGAGGTGGCACTTCCAGATTCTTCTGATCCAGGACTGCACCAGAACGACGAACCAGTGATTCTCCACATTCCCACGACAATAGAGAATCCTGCGGATGTATCTGGAATTGACGCTGAATTTGCCTCTGAGCTCTTGTTAAGGCTTCTTGTTCAACTAGTCTAATATATCTGTAGAAGTTCAACTACTTCAAGTTCAACCTATCTACTTTCTTACTAGAAGAAGACCTTCCGAGGAGTCGAGACCTTCGGAGAGAGTAGAGGCTGGCTTGTTCTCAAGGGCCGGAGGGAAATAAGGAGAAGAAAGGCCCTGCTCCTCCTCCAGAGATGACTACTACTAAAACTATCCTCCCTAAAAAGAAGGTGAAGAGACTCCTGCCATGCCAACATCCTCTAATCTCGCAATTACAGAGGAATACGTTCTTTAATCGCGATGTTGTCAGCCAAGAGGATCCGGATTTTAAGGAAAGAATCGAAGGCGTAAAAGACGAAGCCAGACCAAGCTTATTACATTTGGATGGAAGGTGTTGATTTTGATAGCAATAGAAGTAGATTTAGATTATAGTCTGGTCTGTCTTTTTTCTAGTTAGGTCGGCTCCACCACGATTGTATAAGGGTCTTGATGTTGGGCGTTGCTCATGATATTGAAGTAGATGTTGTTTTCGATGACTAGTAAGGGTCTCGATGTATTCAAGATTTGGCTCTATTTATGCAGGAGGAGGTGATTGAAGAAGAAGATGTCATGTTGCTATGTCACAATGTCTTCTTTGTCTTTGCTTGTCCATGTGGTCGTGTTTGTAAATGATCATCTGAAGTAGGAGTAGGGACTACACACGTGTTTGTAAATGATCATCCGGGACTACACAACAACAACTAAAACTATAAATTTAAATTAGTTCTTTAAGTATAAGTTAATAAAACTCCCTTCCGAATAGTTCGATGCGACCGGCACACACATGAACACACACAGACCCGACAGCAGAGAACTCGATGACGACGAGGAGGGGACCGCGCGAAAAAGACCGAGATTTGATACCGCAGAAGAACCTGTGGAAGGACATAGGAATAAGGCATGCACACCGACGACGCCTATCGATAGGACTACGGCACAAGGTACTTGAGCGATTCTAATTTGCAATTGATTTTATCTAATGAACGACTAAATAATTCTACGAAAACGACGAGAGTCAGAGTCTAAAAGTATTCTTGATCGTGCTACTGCAACTACAAGGACTAGTACAACGAGTGACGCTCATTCCACCGATGTTTGACTGTACTAAGAACAAGGAACGAGGTAAGAAAAGATGATGTTGTTCTAGGTACGCGAGTGTTTTTTTTGTTTGAAAAATAACAGCTATAAAGCTAGCAGTTTCTGTGTTAGAGACAAACACTATCTATTACCATATTCGTGGTCTACCAGGGCTCTCACTAAATTTTGCTTTTGCTTTTGGGTTCTTTCGATTTTTGTTTTGCATTTCTTTGTTGTAGAAGTACCCCTTCTTCTATCACTATCGTGTGTTATTTCCTTTTCATCGTGGTCCCACTCCCACTGACCCATTTACTATGTTGTAGCAATAACAAGATGGATTCAGTTTTCAGTTCTTTCTGGATGCCGGATAGCGTCCAGCATTATCTTGGCAATGAAGCGCGCACGGTGATGATAAGTGGTAATATGAACAAGCAGGTCGCGGAGCAGCAGAAAAATGGACATGGCGACGACAATGAAGTTCTTGCGGAAATAAATGTAATGAAAATAAACGCAACTTCTACTTCTTCTACTTCTTCTCCAACGAGTACGAGCGTTCTTGCTGAAAAAATGAATGATGAAGGCAAGACAACTGCAAATACAACTACAAGTGCAACTTCTAACGCCACAAGTGTAGTTTTTTCACCGTCTACGACATCGTCTTCACCTTGGTCATCGTCGAATATCGGAGGAACAAGTAATGGCGGTGATGGAGGTAGTGGAAATCATAGTGCTCTAGGATCGTCGCCTTCATCCTCTGGCAGTGCATCAGGGTTGATGTATCAGCCGGGCTTGTCGCCTCCCGCAACGATATTTTCGTCGGAAGGCGGAGATTCGTCCTACGACGCAGAAATAGCGGATGAGGGGATAGAGATTGAAGCTTCTACGGAGGTGGCGCACGAAGGGCCTTTATTTGCTCAACAAACGAACAGTCCGACGTCGAACAAGCATGACGAGCCACCTGTCTTCAAAGAACTACATCAAGATCGAGAAGAAGAGGAGGATGCCACAGCATCATCATTAGCTGCTGAAACAAGAATATTAAAGCCATTGACACTTCTAGCACCACCAGGAGTTGCACAGGCGCAACACCAGGTTGTAGATGAGGAACTTGAACCGAGTCCAGATGATCCAAGAACACCTTTCCACCACCCTCCAGCACCCCAATTGAACTCTGTTTTAGTGCAAGCCGCTTTACAACAGTTCGGCGGATTCGTCCATCATACTGAGTGGAACTCGGAGTTAATGCTGTCCAATGTGGACTTTAGTGGTGGGTTTGCCAGAGGCGTGTTTTCCGATAATCCCGAAGTGGAATACTCTCTGACTGCTGTTTTTCTAGACGGTTGCGGATTGGAATCCTTGGGTGACGGAGATGGATTTTCGGATGAGGATGGTGGATATGGAGGCACAAGAAATGGCCAAGGCGCCTCCACAATGTGGACAACCAGTACGCAAACGGCGTCAGATCTGCTAAATTCAGCGGGAGAGAACTTCGTGGACTACGTGAGCGATGTGGCACGGTGGATGGAGGACTTGGCGATTAGCACAGTAGTACCGCCTCCAACAGGGAGTGCAGCTACTTCAGGGACTTGTACAGCTTCAGCGAGAAGAGAGAAGGACGACATTAATATCAACATCAACCAGATGGACGACAATAAAGCAGCAACTGCAACGTCAACAAATAAAGCAAGAAGACCTACTTCCATGACTACAGAAGGTTATTCAACTACGGTGTCTCCTACTAAGTCTTCTGAAGAACCTCAAGCGCCTCCTATGTCTTCTCCTGAACAAGAACCCAAACTCCTACGTCCACCATGGCCACCCAGTGCTTTACGCCCTCTCCTGAATCTCCAGCAAGCCTATCTCATGCGCAACCGGTTGACGGAAATACGTGCCATTGATTTCCCACCTTCTTTACGAATTTTAGATGTCTCTGAGAATTTGATTGCGAGGATAGAACTCTCGCCAAACGATAGTAGTGAGATGACGACTGCAACTTCAACTTCTAGAAGTAGAAGTACTTCCCGAACGAGTGCATCAAACTACTACATCCGCCAACAAGTTCAACATCCTGGTCTTCCGCGTTTGCAACAGTTGAATCTCAGTCGAAATCGTATTAAAAGTCTAGACGATATCCACAGCGTACATTGTTTACCAGCTTTGGCTTTGCTGGATGTCGCTGAAAATCCATTTTCTTCGAAGGAAGCGGCGAGACGAGTCGAGATGAGATCAACACCAAAACAAGCGTCGGCTGCAGCAGGGACTAGAGGTGGAGGTGAGATGAATGATCTTCTGATAGAAAATCCAATGTTCTTACAACTAGTTGGTGGAGAACGAGAATCGGAACCCTTTCCACCCTCCAAGAGCAGGACGACGACGTCAAGCTCCTGCTCCAGAATAAATACTTCTACGGTGGAGGAAGTCGTCAACGCAGCCTTATTCCACGATATTGCGGCTTTTTTTTGCTCGTCATCGCCACGTGATCGCGCCGGCACTAGAAGTCCTAGGACGACCAGGAGTCCTCGAAGCAGAAACAGAAAAAAAGACCCGCCTAGTACGAATGCTTTAATGCTAGGAGGTGGTGGCCCTAATCAACATCATCACGAAGCTTCGACAGATCTTTTGGGCTACATCGACAATAGCATTACCCAGGAGCACACGCGCAGTAACAGTATCGAGGTGGAGGAGAGTAACAAGAAGAATATTACAGGAACCAGCATAAGAACCGACAGCCACGAGATCGAAGTTCATCGCCCTCTGTTTCATAACCTGCGTTCGCTCCGCGTCTTCGACCGGTCTCTCTATACTAAAACCGAAGGCAATCCAAAAAAAGACCCCAAACAACTGGCTCTTGAAGCCGATTTGAAGTTGCATCTGCACAATTACCGGGAAAAGATAGCGATCGCCTTGCCAGATTTGAATCTTCTGGATGATAAGGTTTTGGTATGGGAAGAAGGAGAGAAATACTTTTTCTAGTCCTCTTACGTTGCTGGTGGTGGTGCAGCATTGAAGATCAGTAGATAACAAGATTTAAGATGAGGAAGTAGAACAGGCTCGGAATTAAAATTATACCCCTTCTGGCCTGTCGCAGTGTGCTTGCTTCGGAAGCTCAGGCTCCGTCTCACTGTTTTTCTCCAACCCCCTCTGCGTGCCCCTACTACAACTTGCTTGCATTCTCGTTTTGGCTTTTTGAGTAGTAGACTTTTTTCTTCTTGATCTTCTTTTTACCCTTCTTGGTTATTCTTGCTGCTCGATTCAAGTTTGGGTGGCTATCTGTATGGTCGTGTTTGCGATTCAAGTCATGTGACGGTCGTCTCTCATCTTCGAAAACTGTAGGTAGCACACAACATTGATTGATTAGCTTTACCATATTTTTCCCCGTGTATGAAATAGCCGCTTGCAGCTGTTCCTCCGTCGGGTGGCCGCTGGCAGTGGTTGATGGCACATATTTTTCCCCGTGTATGAAATAGCCGCTTGCAGCTGTCCCTCCGTCGGGTGGCCGCTGGCAGTGGTTGATGGCACGAAGAAGCTCAGATAGATGCTCAATTGTTTTACCCTTCGCTTTAGTTGTCACATCGTTGTCTTAGATCAAAGGATTTCTTTTCTACACAAAATTTTCCCGAAGGGGTGCTGGAGTGATTTTCATTCTAATTAATTACAACTTTTCCCGAGTCGTGCTCGTGTTCCTTCTCCCTACAGCAGCATCTCTTGATTAGCCGCGGGAGGTGTCCTCATATCTGCAAGTATGGTCTGTGTCGAACTGTAAACAAGGGTTGTGTGGCTCAAGCAACAGCAGTGGATTTCTTTTCCCTCGTCCCCTAAAAATAGCTTGGCGAAAAACCACAAGTTACACGACTAGTAGTACTAGTAGTACAACACAATACAAAATATACTGAGATACAACAAATTATACTGTTTTTGTTATTTCCTACTTCTTCTATAGAAGGTAACTATACTGCTTACTACTTCTTGTTCTTCTAACGGTAACTATACTGCTTACTCGGAAGTAGAGTGAAATAAATGTATGAGTGTACTACTACTAACTATGATAGTGATGATCGAGACCTACAACTTTATTTATCTTCATCCAAACTCAATTATTTCCATCAACAAGCTCGTTAAATCAATGCCTTACACTCTTTGGATTTAAGGTTATTTCCCACGAATCGAAACTCAACCTCCAACAAAATAACTCCGGCAACAGGTGGTGAAGACCTCCTTCCCGTGTTGAAGACTCCGATCGGCACGCCTGGTGGAAGGGAGACACCCTTCGATTCGGCATCCTCACGGCGCCACCCTCTGGGCACACCTGGCGGTTCCGGTTTGCGTTCCTGCTTGAAGTCTGGCGGTAAAAGTCCAAGACCCGGCACAGCGCGAAACAGCAAGGTCGGGGGCCCTCGTCCACGAGTGCACTTCAGCAGTGCTAGAATTAAGGCTTTTCATCTAGAATTAATAACTCGTCCACGACCGCGTTTCTAGAATTAACGAAGTCCACGAGTGCACTTCAGCAGTAGTTTATCCTCGCTATCTAATAATACAGTAGGAAAGTGCTAGTCCTCCACGAGTGCACTTCAGCAGTTTATCGCTGCCTTACTTAGTGAACTCTGTATTCCTGGCCTAACTGTTCTAGGCCATGGTAAAAGTCGGTTGTTGTATGAGGGGCTCTAGTTTCGACTGGCTCTAGTTTCGCATAGTGAAGAAAGTTGCAGATTTGTTCTACCTCTAATGGAAGGAACAAGAGAGGTGGTGGCGGTTCGCATGTGGTGAAAAATTGTAATATACCAGATCAAATCGCTGGAGAAGAAACAAACAAGAAAGCACCACCACCCGCATCTGCTGCTACATTAGCTTTGGCTGAATTGAGAGGAGATGACGAAAATCTAGGACCAGGAGGGGGAGGAGACAAGAGCACCTCGAATAAGGAAGATCTTCAAGTTCAAGTTAAGGCTGTACCTAATACATCTTTGGACGCTGCGTCCTTGCTGAAATGTATGGACGAGGAGTGGACTCCACCTAAGGGAGTAATTCTCTCCCATAGTACTCTTCAAGGATGCACCTGAAAGATGAATTACGGACAGCGCTAATCAAGGAGAAGACGACGACCACTTGAAAGATGAGAACGTCCTAGGTGCGCCAGGAGGTGGCGGGTGGCTAGATTATTCCTTTTCGTCCGCTGCAGCGTCGCCAGTAGAACCAACAGGCAGTGGCGGAGGAGGTGGGCTACTGCATCATGTTGGACGCCTGTTGTGGAGCGCGAACAACTCTGCCAATGGAGGATCCGCCAAAGGTAGTTCTTCGAATAACAACTCTGTGAATTCCAGCAGCAGTGCTCCAAACAAGGGACCTCCCAACACGGGCCCTTCATCGTCCTCTAGTTCGTGCGCAGGGAGTCCCCCAGCTGTGGTTTCTCCTCATCTTCTACATCTACCTGCCACTTGCAGTGGCAAAGAAGCTGGTTTGAGCAGTGCCAGTGCTGGCAATGTCCGATTTGGGGTTGTAGAACTTCCACCCATAGAAGAAGAAATAGAAGCAGGCGGACTGGTAGAGAGGAATGAGAAAAAGACCGACGTCGCCGCAGAGGGAACAATTGCTGAAGGCTCTGAGAATGCTGAGAAAAAGACCGACGTCGCCGCAGAGGGAACAATTGCTGAAGGCTCTGATAATCCTGAGAAAAAGGCCGAAGTCGCTGCAGAGGAAACAATTGCTTCAGCGCCTCCCGCGGTCGCAAGTGCATCCTCCTCCTCCTCCTCCTCCTTCGCAGGAGCTTGCTCAATAAAGGATCCCAGTAATACCAAAGCTCCAGACCCACCAAGAAGCCGACGCAACAGGTAAGGCTTACAGTAATTCATCTCCAGAAGCATCTTTGGCACCTTTTTTACGAGCAAAATACGCCAAGCCCAAAGATGCTTTCCGAGATGAACATAAGTTGTAAGCTCTAAAATAATTTGTCTAGGCGCGTTGTGAATTTCCCAGATATCCCTGACTCACAGCCTGACGAGGATCCTGGTGGATTGATGTTGACAGACATCACAGGACAACCTCTCGGATCAGCTTCTTCAAGTGCTACATCTCACAAGAACAATATTATGGTTATGGTCAACATTTAGTGTCCATCATTCTCGGCATCTTGGTCCCCTTTTGTTCCCCTGTATTCTTCTCATGAATATTACAAGGTAAAAGGGGCCCCAAGAAAAGGGGGGCCGAGATGCAATCGTTCGAGTCGCAGACTCTAATATGGTTAACAACGGCGCAACAACTTCTACTGGAACAAGACGAGCTTCGTTACTACCAGGAGCAGCTCCGACAGGTGGTGGACCAGTCGCGGGATCTTCAATGTCTGACCCTGCTGACATTAAGGTTTTTACCATATTGACACTAACCCAAGGTTTGCACCCTAGTTATCCAAGGTTTGAACTCTTGTTGCATTCCCATTAGCATTGTTTACCAACATCCTTGGCTTGTAGTTTTCCTCCAGTAGGAAACAGGGAGTGCTGCTGCTCTTCAAGAATTGTGAAGAACTCCTGAGGAAGGAGTCAGGGACGTTGACCTGGAGAAAGAATACAGCAGCCGCCTCTAACGATAAGAAGATCGCCAATTCAGCCTCTCCCTTTCGGCATGCGCGTTGTTCCTTGTCGATTTCTATGGTGAGCCATAACAGCTCCGTTCATGCTGACGTTCGGGAATTCGAGGTATCCTCCATCCTCCACGACGACTCGGAAGCGGAGTTATCGAGTAACCTGTGGAGATTGAGGGAACAACAAGAAATTCCGGAAGGTACTTTTTATCCTTTGCTGCCTTGTATCTTGTGGTGTCGGTACGCTCATGCACCTTTACGTTTACTAGTAGAAATGTTGATATTAATATCAAAATGAAATATCCTATAATCCAAAAACAAGATGAATGTCATCGCAACTACTTTTCTCCATTCCACTTCTATTACCAGATGCCGAAGTCCCCTGTCCCTTGCCATATACGATTCACGGTGAGGTCGTTGACGAGGTGGAGAATCGCAGTCTTGACGTGAGAAAACTATCGAAGCTGGAAGCTGGACAAAAACTTGAGCTTGACGCACCACAAGAAGGCGGACTATCCTCTTTTATGTTGGCTCAAATCAATTCTAATTCATTTCGATATCTACAAGTACTAGGGGACTTTTCTAATTTCCTCCTCAGGTAGGAGTAGGATTGGTTGAAATGCATGCAAGAAGTGAATTGCTTTGAGCTCTAACTCTTCCTCTGGCCCTCAGGGTGGTGGGATTGTCATAGCGTCGTCGCCTGTGGATCAAGCAGCGACGGCGTCCTTTCTCAAGCTAAATACGACAGAAGATGACCATGATGATGAACACGCATCGGCATTTGAGGCGGTAGTGCTTATGGGGCAAGCGTCGAGTATCAGGGAGGATAACCAGACACTAGGAGAAGCGAAGGCGGAGGAACAACGTCGTACTAGGGTATCTTCTAAAAGTGGTGCCAATTATGTGGGTACCGGGCCACGTGATCCTACTTCTTCTACCGCAGCGGGCCCACCTGATCCTACTTCATCTGCGGCGAAAAACGCTGCACTAGGAGGTACTACAACAGAAGGGGCTGCACCACGACCACCATCATCTACGACTAGTGTGAACTACGACATGCCACCACCAAGGAGAGCAAGACGGTCATCTTGTGCTGGAGCTGGGTTCGAAAGGCCACAGCTGGAAGCAGCAACAGCGACGAACAATAGTAGTCAAAAAACTCTTGTCAAAGAGGTGCCTCTGCCAGTACTAGAAAATGACATCGAAGGCGACGTTCCACCACCACCAGCGAAACGCTCTAGGCGACATAGTATTTCTTCCTTCGCTTCTGCTGGCGTCTCAAACCCGCAATTAGACGAAGGAATGATCGCACCAAGTCAAGGCGATTGGCAAGGATCTAGTCAAATCCATAGTCAAAACACGAGTCGCATCATGGGGCCACCTCCTCGGTCGTCCGCACGTGGGAGAAGAAGCAGCGGTGCTGGTGGACCTGGTGTTGACTTTTCAACATTATCTAGTAGAGTACTAGGAGGGACTCCGTCAGCAACGGGAGGAGGGCGTGGTATGTTGGCTGGATTGTCAGATGTAGAAGTGCAGATATTGGAAGATGATGGTGACGAAGTAAATAAGAAAGACGAACCAAGACCACGAGAGCAGGACCAAAAAAGGCATATTAGCAAGCCACCAGAATTAGATGGACAAGCTGGTGCACAGGAAAACCAGTCCTGCTCTGCTCTTCCGACTCCTCCTGCGCAAAGTCAACATGTTGAGCATAATTCCTGTAGTTCTAAGTCTATTGCTACTCCCGTCTTCGGCACAGGAGGAGCAAGCAAGAGTAGTCGTGGAGGCGATGCGGCAGTCGTCTTTGTTCCTAAGAACAATCTCGATATCTCCTTCGGCGCAGCCTGCTCAAGTCAAGGTGATCCAGTGAGTGAACCTAGGACCAACAGTAACAAGATGAAGATGCAACGAGCAGGAGGGGATGGTGGGATTGATACTGTCGCTGGAGTAAATAAAACTGGACTAGAACGAGGACAAGGTGACTCATGTGGTGGAAACGAAAAGTTGGGAGGTCCTCGTGCTAACTCAGGAGCTCCAAGCTTTGGGGGAGGTGGGAGCCAGGCATCACAGCCTAGCGATCTAGTTGTTGGCTCAGCATCTTCATCTAGGGTTGTAGTACCAGCTGCATATCAACCTCAACAGCCTTCACCAGTTTCACCGCCTGCAGGAGCCAGAAATTTCAAGAATTTGACGACGACAGCAGCACTAGCTGCGCCCGGTCAAGTGGGAGCTTCTTCCAGTAGTGGCTCCTCCGCGAACAAGACAAGTAAAATGCCTATTCAAGACGTGCTCAGTAGCCTAAGACAGAACACAGTATCTCCAGGACTGAGTCGTCTCCGCGCTCCCGGATTCGTAGTGTCGAAGATCAAAAGCGCCCTCTTTCAGACCGCTGGAGGAGATGGATCTGGCGGACAACTATGTGCATCGGCTGCTTCTTCTTCTGCAGGGCCAGCTCCAGTAGCACAGTTTGGCACAACAGCACCAGCAGCACCACCAGCGGCAAGTACAACAACTAGAGCCGCGGGTGGGTTAGCCTCTTCACCTCGTGATGAGGGTAAAATGAGTAATATGCGAGCAGCAATCCAAAGTATATTTAGTCCTAGAGCGCCGCCTGGTGGAGGTCTAGGAGGAGCAGACCCACCAGGCCGCGGATCCCAACAAGGGGGCCTTGGCTCACAGCTCCGACATTTCATATCGCCTGGAGGTGCAGCATCGAGGAGACGGTCGAGTAGATTCTCCTTGTTAGAACTGAGTCCTATTGCTGCAGTGAGTACCTGCGAATTGAACGAGTCGCATTCGCTAAATAACTCGTTGTTCATGGCGCAGCCGGAGCGAGGTAGCGGAACCAGCAGGGCTAGTGCCTTAGTGGACGAACTCGCGAGAAATAGCAAGATATTGAAAAACCAAGAAGGAGAACAGAACCAGATGAATAAGATGGCAGCATTTTCCTCTGTGGCCAGGAATCTTGTTTTCAATGCGCCTCCCGATGCAGGTGATGCAGAATTTGCAGCTAACGGCAAGAATGCTAGGATAGAAATAGAGGACGAGGATGAGCTGGACGAACAGAAGGACCCCCAAGCTAAGAGAAGAATACAAGACACAGGAGGAGCTGTCGCTTTGGACGATCCATTTGCCAGTAACGAGCCCGACGTGCCGGCATCTGGGGGTGCCAAAGAAGTTGTAGAAGATCTGACGCAACAGCTGAAACGCTTGCACAGCCGCTCACGCAGTATAAGCGGTGACTTCTTTTCGCCCGTTCCTGCAGTACCTCCAGGACCTTCAGTGGAGCAAGCAGTTGAAAACGTCAGCTCCGGTCCTAAGAAGAACGTTGCTGCTGCGGTCGTAGTTGCTCCACCTTCAGGATCTTCAGTTCGCGCCGTAGTGGGCAAGTCTACTTCATCGGCGAAAGCTTTACAGCCTAACAACGTGGCCAACAAAGCTCCTAGGCTTGTTGGAGGTTGTGCTCTGTCGTCGACCGCACCACCACCAGTATCTTCTTCCTCACAAATGCATAAGAACGGTCCATCCGCTCTGACGAAGAAGCCCCAACCCCTTCTACACCAACAAAAAACCGCTCAACTACATCCATCTACTGGAACACCATCTCTTCTACACCAACAAAAGTCCACTCAACTACATCCATCTTCCGGAATCGGAACAACTGGTACGGGAGCCACGGGAACGTCGACTACATTCTTTAGTTCCAAGATGAAGAATCTCAATCTTACACCCAGTCGTTATATGACTCCTGCACACAAGTCTGCTAGTTGTACTGCTTACGGAGGATTGTATAATCCTCCCCAGCGCAGCACCCCAGCGTTGATTCGACCAAGCATTTTAGACACAGCCTCGCTAGATGACTTACTTGCGGCACGCGATAGCAAGGGACCACCAGCAGGCTTGCTTCGGTGTACTTGCGGACGTGTGCACAGAATGAAACGCCCGTGTCATGCTCATCCGCCCACAAAGGGTAAGTAGACGCTGCGAAAACATTTCGTCGTAGGGAGCCCCTACGTGCATACTGCAGGAGTGACCATCGCTCGCATCAAGAACCTTCTTCGCAACATGTTGAACTCAGACTTTTTCTTCCAGGTCCTATTGTTCTCTCACTTCTAGGATTTTTTCAGCGCTCGCGATTAATACTGCTCGTTGTCTGGAAAATATATATGATTTGAAGTCCTACCATTACCATCTGACTCCTTGATGAGCAACATATTGTTCTTGATTCTTGAGTGAGTCGTCTTGAATATTGTAAGGAGCTGCACATGATGGAGATCCCCTATTCCATGTGAGCGCACCACAGACTCCATTATGTTACTTAACAACATCAGCGCTGGCATGTACGAGTCCTAAGATGGCGACAGCACACCAGTATGCAGCTGTGACGACATCTCTTTCTACTTCTAAATGTCATACAACTGGATCAAAGTGAAGATCTACAGAAGCAGGCTCGTCGTCCTCGCTGGTGATAGTATATTTTTCATCATCTAGAAGTGCTACTATATTTTTCATCATCTAGAAGTACTAGCTCGACTTGTTCTTCTTTTACTCGCATCAAACTCGATCGGCATCTTGATACATACTAGTTGCTGCTCTTCTAGTTCGGAGGATCATCGTGGATTGCCACGCACTTCATTTACAAGATTGAACACGAGGTCTCCCCGACTAAAGCAGCGGAAGAAGGAATTGTGGAATTTCAAAAGGGAATTGCATCTAAGTAGACGCTATAGAAGATGTCCTCACTGTGCACAGAAATGCTCCAATGCCTAAGCCGCGCGAGACGGGGCAGAAGAGATATCACCTGGCACAGCAACAGTTACGGAATCTTGTTGTACTTATAGATACCAGATGAAATATCGTTATCTTCTTGTTCGGACCATCGCGGATTCCTGATGAAAAAAAGCAGGATGATCCACCTCGAGCTCAAAATATAGTTAGATCCTGAAGGACAAGGACCAAGAAAAAAGAGATCCTGGACTACTTTCACCTGCTACGCTTGGAAGATCCTTAGTTCGATGGAAAATATGCTTGTTAGGTGTATGAGCGAAAAACCCAACAAAAACATTAAGGCCTAGTAGCCGTAGCATGATAGATGTCAGATATATTTTTCTTCGAATATTGAAGCAATTCGCTTCGATTTTGTTTACTACAGGCAGCACGGAGGGGGTTACAACAACTACTAGGGAGGTTGAATATTGACGGATCGAATTATGAAATTGAACATGAACCACGCACGAGGAACATCACTTCTAAGAGCAACAACAGTCTTCGTCGTAGTAGATTTTCAAGGCTAAAAGCATCAACATGAACAACGAGGATTCTTCCTGGACGGTCCGTAGATGGGCTAGGCAGCCTGTGCGGTATGCCCCGCACTCAAACAGCCGCGACCCTGAGCGAGCAGCCTGGGTCTGCCAACGTTTTACCATACCGAGTAAGATTGTGCTTGGCACGACAACAGGAGATAAAAATCAGGTTCATGATCGTGCGCAACCTCCGACAGCGGCATCAGCGTCCTCGAATAGCAGCTCGTCTTCGAGCTCAACAGCTCTTGCGCTTGTTGTAAACAATAGCGAGCAGCAGAATACTAGAGACACGAATTCCAACGTCCTGCCATCCTTTAACGTATGGTCAAATCGAGCAGGGGAGCGGACTGTAAAGCTTCTCCAGAAGGAAGAAGAAAATGGTAATTATGCGGTTGGAACAACAAGGACGGACATTGTCGTATTGGATGTAGGCGATAGTGGTGGTTCTTTGCTTCAAAATGACGCTGAAGATGGACAACCACAACGACCGGACAGGACACACGAGATCCAAGAATTGAAAATATCGACCTCTACCTCATCCACGACAGGAGGAGCATTTTCGACATCGAACGTGTTTGGGCGTCAGAGAATGCAGATATTAGCAACTGAAGAAGAGCAGGAGGAACTGGATGACGAGGATCTGGAAGATGGATTCGGGAATCAATCTCTTCTTGAAGGAGGAGGCGCTCATTCAACACATCAACCAGGAGCTTCAGCATCTTCGTCGCAACCTGGTCCAGGTCAGAAGCGAGCACCGAATACTTCATCATCCCTCCAAATTGAATCTCAGATGAATGACTTCCTAAACCCTCCAAAGGTTGTTTTCTTCGAAAATCAGCAAGAACTACCTTGTCAGAAGCAGGACTCTAATATCAGTTCTCGTCTGTCTACTACTTCTTCTACAACTAGAGCGGAACAACAAGACATCAACGTCTGCATCCCCACAGGTGAATACTCCTACACTACTCACGCGATCGACAAGACCATGTACAAGGACCTGCTCGTTATGCTGCCTGGCTTGAACTACACTCCGGAATATGAGAAGCTGCTGCCTGCTTGGTTAGCGTTACGTCCCTCTAGACCAGACGAAGTCTACGCGACGGAAGGAAGGAACAAGGCTGCAGCCTCGAAGGATAGCAAAATAGTTGGCGGTGACGGAAACGCTTCAATTAAGGCTCAACATTTTTATAGGAATAACAAGTAAATTTCATTTTTACAACAAGTCATTCGCATTTCTCGGGATAAATTTCCTTCTTAGGATTTGGAGAAATGTAGGCCAGAAATTTTTTGGATTTTTGGATTTCTAATTCAAGTATTATAGGCGTAGGAGGAACTGGGCGGGGGCCTACAGCCGTAGGTGGACGAGGTGCCTCGACCACAGCAAGTGGAGGTGATATTGCCAGTGCTGGTATCATGCCTAAGAATCCGAAAGCGATTCATCAAATGATGCGAGAATTGATCCAGCCTGTGGAACCATACTTACTTTCTCAAATGGGTGAGACGATCACGCCAATATTGGAGTGTGAACAAAGGCCATGGACTGAGATGCTGTGGCAAGAAATTGAAGACTTCACGACTGGTAGCGCTGGAGATCTCAGAGATGATGATGATGTTGATGCTGCTAGTAGGTGTACTAGACGAAGTACAACTTGTACTAGGTCATCTTCAGTCATTCGAAATTTAGCCTGTTTCCCAGACTTAGTTTCATGTTCATCCTCGTGTAGAAGTGGGGGTGGAGCAGATACCTCGAGTCTGCCGTTCTTTTTCGAAGAATGGATGCAAAATCGCGCTTACTGTTCTGGGATTGAACCTCTGCCAGCAAACGTGAAGGATGTCGTGGTATTTGGTGGCAGTTGTACTAGGCGAGAAGGTGGCAGTACGCGAGGAGACAGAAGGTTTTCATCACTCGAGGACGAGAACAAGGAGGACGAGCTGGAAGCCTCACCTAGCAGTAAGTCTGGTAAGGCATCCAAGTCAACATCCAAGAACAAGAGTCCTGCTGCGAAAGCAAAAGCGTCGTCTTCAACATCAGCAGCTTCCAAAAAAGCAGCAAAAGCGAAGGCTAAATCCAAAGCACCTGCTACGACGTCGAAATGGAGTAAAGGCGCAGCGACTAAGATTAGAATCAAGTCAGCTTTCGAACTCGCTAGAGATAGGATAAACTGCCGTGTCGCGGAAATTCTGTCACCTTTTGCGATTGACGATGCCAAGGAAGAGTTGGACGACTTGCGCAGACGAACGAAACATCATGAGGATATTGAAGACGACAAAAAACCACTCGGAGGTTGTCCTGCGTCAACAAGTACTAGGAAGAGGACAAGGACATCTTCTTCTCTAGACGAAATGCAGCAAATCGAGCAGCAGACGAACGGATTTCGCCATCTAAACCCCATGCAGCGATATCGCGAGTGTTGTTTGGACCAAGTAAGTGTGGACGGACGCGTGCCTAGGGATCCCTTCGTTCTCCACTTACAAAGTCGTTGGGCAGCAGAGAACGCGATTCTTTTTCACTCCCTGTGTCCCGATTTAGTAAAACTACACGGAGGTGGACTTCTTCATCAAGAAGATTCTCATGTTGTGATGTCTGAAGGAGGAGAAGCTGCTGCCTCCAGTTATCGAAATCGAAGTCCTCACAGCACTTCCACGTGGTCCGCACTACAAAAGCAAGCCGCAGGCTCGCCCACGTCTTGTTCTGCTAAAAGTCAAAGGACTTGGCGTTGGTTCGTGAACTACTACTCGTGGATTTTACAGGTCCTACGTCCAGCTGAGGGAACGCAACTGCATCACTACTTTCATGTCCGGATCTTAGAGGCGTTGTTGCAACTTGCCCAGTTCAGAGAGGCTAAGAATTGGATTCTTACAAATGCTCTCCTAGGTGCTGCCGCTGCGGATGAAGAGTTGGCACTTTTTGCTGCTCATGGAGAGGAAGTAGAGGGTTCCATCAATGAAGATGAAGGGTCGATGGATGCTAGCATTGACGAAGAGGATCTTATATTGGAAGAGGATGCCGTCGATGCTAGCGGCCCAAAGAATAAAGGATCTGCTAGTATTCCAAAAAACCTGAAAAGAATAACAAGTAGGACTTCGGGCGACCACAAGAAAAACGAAGACAACTACAACAAACACAAGAGCACCAAGAACGATGAAGAAACTAATATAGAAGGAATAGGCAGCAAGACGAGTAAGAAAAGGCGACTCCACCTCGCAGGTACTAGCAGTACTTCTAGTGCAGTGCTTCCTACGGCAAGAGCATCAGGTGGAGGAGGCGCGGTTTCGTCCTCTACTGCAGCACGTAGAGGTCGCGGACGACCTTCAAGAGACGAGCTGCAAGCTCGTAGTCCCTTAGCCTTGGACTTTTTCGTTTATGACTTGCTTCTGAGAATTGGAAGACCGGAATTGTTCTATGGTGGAGTTCGTGGACATCATGATGATTTCGCTCACCGTGATGTCGATGCGAGGATCCAATATCTTTTAAGGGAATTGGACAGACCGATCCGAGCGAGGCAGAAAACACACAACAATCAGGTCTTGTTTACACGGTTGAGCATCTACAAAATTCTGGTATACTGGAGGCGACCTAGTACGCAAACAGCTGCAACTGGTACACCTGCAGGAGGAAACCACGGAGGTGGCTACGGAGCTACTACTAGAAATACTACAACTTCACCAGTGATCTCCGTAGCAAAGTGGTGTGGGCAGCAGTGGCTGGCTGCGTTGTGCCAAATCAGCGAGACCTTGCCTGACGAGATGAGGTTTGAATACTTCAAAAGATCGGATATCAAACCATTTATTCATAGTACTACGTCAAGCTCAACCACGTCTGCATCAGCATCAGTTCTTGTAGCGGCAGGCGCAGGGGAACGTCGTGAAGCAACAACCTCAACATCCACCTTAACATCCACTACTGGGAACATCAACTTGAACTTTTCGATTCTCAATCCGAATCCTCTTTTCGCCGAAGCGAATGCCGCTTACACGCGAGGATCCTCGGTCTCGCCGAGCTCACTAAGCGGAATACGCTTGATGCTATCCACGGCGATTTCTCTGATCAATCAGTCTTGCAAAGCTGGTAAGCCTTCGCCTCTTTTAATCGAATACGTTTGGGAAGGGTTGCGTCAAAAACTTGTAGTCGCCGGATCCACACCAGGGCAGACACTGGAGAGTTATTTGACCTTGTGTGCGGAACACGTACGAGCACATATGCGGTGGCGACGAGAACAAAAGATTCGAGTTGTGGAGCAAGAACAAAAGATCCATCGAGATGGTGCTCTTGAGGATGTCGAAGTAGAAGTTGAAAATCTTCAAGAGGACGATTTGCTCCAGGACGATGACTGTCAAGACGAGGACGAAGGAGACAAAAAGCCAACAGCCTCAGCCAAGGGCAGGGGAACAAGTGCTTCTTCATCTTCTAAGGTAAAGGATAGTGCCAAAGCTAGTAAAGCATCAAGTGCTAAAGCCGCCAAAGTCAAAGCAACTGCCAAGGCAAAAAGCAAAGCGAAAGCCAAAGCTAAGGCAGGAACAGTTGTGAAAAAGAGTGGGAAGGAAAAGGATGCGGTGAAAGCACCTCCACCAGCTCCCCGTCGCACAGAAGTGCGCATTCCATTACAGAAAAGCGATCTTGGTCAACTTTTTTGTTCCCTTTTCAAGTGCCTTTTAGCTGGGGACTCAACCGTAGTTTGGCTGTGGATTTTCGACTTGCTCACCAGCTATCCGGATATTTTTTTACCAGCGTTTAGAGTAACTACGGAGAGGCGGTACCAAAATGAGGTTGAGGAGGAGGATCTGAGCATACTTGAAATGGTAGCTGAGATGATTGGACATACAGGCGACCTCCACTACGTTCGAGCCAAATTTAAGGAGAATTGCTTCATCCACGACCATCAAGATCAAACGCCGTTCAGGCTCAGCTCTACGACTACTATATCTTCACCTTCAACTACGAACAAGAACTCGACGAACAAGAACTCGACAACGACAGCAAATGGCGACAAAGTGGTCTTCGCAAAAATGCTGGTTCTGGCAAGCTTAGGTCCTACTTTCCGAAACGAAGAAGAGCCTGCACCTCCTGTAGAATCGGGATCGTCGATCCCACGCGGCCTTTCAGTATGGGATAGCATTTTGGCAGAGACCACGAGCTCCACGACCCCATCTAGAAGTAGACTTACAAGCGGGAGACGAGCGCAAGTAGCCTCCAACATAGAACGACGTGCTGATCATGATCAAGTGGTGCAGGGGGATCTAGATCAAGATCCAAGAGATCGTCAAGCACCTACTACAACTACAACTACAACTACGTTGGTCTCTTCTTCTTCATCCCGATTCTTGGCCAATTTCGTTGAGGCTCAGAAACCGATTCTCCAACGGGTGCTTGTTCCCAAAACAAGCGTATCCATATTCGGTAGTACGAATGAGGAGAAGAACAGGAACACTTTAGAAGTACTGCAGAAGGTGTGGCGGCTCATTCTCGAACGCGACAGAAAGCTTTGGGGCACGTCTTTGTCTCAGATCGCACAACAGATAGAATTTGTACAACAACTTGAGGGAAATAACAATAGGGTTCTTGATGTTGAAGATCCTCTTGATCTACTGAAGCCAGCTGTACCTAAGAATAGACGCAGGACGTCATGATACTAGAAGCTTTGGCGTCCATCAAGATCAAGTGAAAGTCCACGACCATCATCAAGGACCTTACTAGAGGTCCACGATGAAATACTTAATGTGTTCCTTTGACGTCCTCTTAGGTCAAGAAGAACGTTTTCATCATCGAGTTCTGTCGGTGACGTCCTCTTATGTCAACAAGAACGTTTTCATCATCGAGAGAAAAACTTGTAGCAAGCATCGAAAAAAAAATTTTGAGAGAGTGAAAGCAGTTGGCTACTGCTATTGTTATATAACATCAAGTGATAATACCTTCTCTGGTCGTGTCTGTCTTGGAGAGAAGTAGAAGGAGAATGTAGATCATGCCGAGAGACAAGTGAATCTACGCAAGAAGTATCTGTTTGAGTGCTGTCTTCATACATTTCTGATGGAGGACGAAGAGAGATCGCATCTTCATCTAACATATCAATCTTCTAATGAGCATCTTCTAACATATCTTCTATTTCTAGTACTGCAAAAAAGAATTCGAAATGATCTCTATCTTCTTCTAGCTCTGCCTGTCCATAGAATGATCCTGTTCGGAATGAATTGATGGATCTTCCGCTCCAACGTCCAACAAGTCTGTGCTGGTGAGGCATTATCAAGTTCTGGTATGAGGAAAATCAAAATGTAAGAGGCCACACGAGTGGTCACTTTGCTGGTGCAACGAGATACTGAAGATAGATGCTTGAAAAAATTGAGGACGATGTGGTCTACGTCTAATCTCCAACTTCAGCTTGGAGGATTGAAAATATTTATATGACTCACCAATTAATTACAACTATCTAATGAGTACGACTTCCATCTATAAACTTCCATCACACCTCTGATATGACTCACCAACAAAAATGTGAAGAAGAATCGGTGCTGCAATGAATTGATCATCATGTTGATGTTGTCTTCCATTTCCTCTCTTCATCTACTTGTTGATTTATTAAGACAAGGAGTCATCTCCTGCTAGTAAAGCAGTATCTGTGAAGAGACGGTGTTGATCTGGCAAGAACGAGTGCTGAGAATCTCCGCCCCCAAGGTGTCCAAATAAAATCATTGTGAGCCAATTGCAATCTCTCTATCTCCACGTCGAAAAAGTTGTATTATAATCTTCATCTTTACTCCTTCTCCTGATCATGGTGTCATCACATCAACACCTCAAATTGACAATTCATCTTCTAAATCTCATCTACATGATAGGCCGTGCTGTCCTTCTGAAGGTGTTGCTCGACACACACATCACCAACCCCTCTCCTCAACAAATTCCTTCTGTCCTCGACATTTTGAAATAGAGCCAACTATCTTTCGCTTCCAGTTGATGCTGTAGCCTACTCCATGATAGTGATTAAGTAGCGAACTACAGCATGAACAGCAGTTCAAGGTCTACTTGGTTCTTTGAAAATTCATCTCAAATCCTCAACGAAAACATAGCAACAGCTGCTACGGGAACTTTTGATTCTACTGGTTGTACGAGTCGTGTGCTCGGGGTCGATTCATTTTGTAGAAATATTCTTCTAGTACTAGACTAGAAATAGAATTTGACTGATCACCGTCTAGTCCTTTCACGTCACATATTCTTCTAGTATTTAAAAATTCACTGTGGAGGTAGATGTAGTTGTAGTGGTGGTTACACACATGACATCGTCGACAGTACACCACGGTCTCCATCATCCACCTTCTTCTTCACGTAGAGACACATCACATACATAGTAGTTGTAGAGTATCTTCATCAAAGAGAGCAAGTAGCTCAACATATTATCGAAGTGGTTCTTAAAGAGGACTGAGGACAACTGAGAACTAGAGGACCTTATAAATCATAGTCTTCTTTTAAAAACCTAGGAGTATCCTAGAGGACCTAATATTAAATCATAGTCTTCTTTTAAAAAACTAGGAGTATACAAAATGCCGGAAGACCCTCATCCCGACCAGGCCAAGTTGCCTCCCGGGTTTGTCGTTGTGCCTTCGCAGTCACGACCGGGCCAGGTGTCTTACCTGCATACTGCGAGTGGGAAGAAGTATATGACGATTCAACAATGCTGGGACGTGCATCAAGGAAACGCAGGGGGCGGAGCCAGGAGTTTCAAAATGGGTGCCTCGATGAAGAATAAAGGGAAGGGGGACGACGCGTACGCACCAACACAAGAACAATTGAAGAACATACAGACGGTAACAAGGCCTATTTTTCTTGAACCAACTTACTTACTAGATGAGAAGAACAGTCCTTGAAGAAGAGCATAGGCATACTTTTTTTTACAGACGGTAAGATCCTCTTACACTTGAAGTAGAGTATACAGACGGTAAGTAGTATCTTTAAGACAATTGAAGTAGAAGAATATACAGAGACGGTAAGGGTATTAACTAAGGATGTTGTGTTTGTGTTTCCTCATCTGTTTTCCTTTATAATACATAGACGGTAAGAAAGAATCTTTAAGTTTGTGCAGGACCCAAGCTTGAGCATCACTCCAAGCCGTGAGCTGCTTTATGATCTGTTGCAGGACTGAACAACAACACGACCCTTCTCCAGATCCTTTCCAACAACGAGGAGACCGCGAAAGCAGCCAAGGTGTGGTTCAAGAAGTACTCAAAGGACCCATCCGGAGCGCTGGTGATGGCCGAGTTAAGAGTTCTCATAGAGAACCTCAATACGGACATAGGTTTGCCGCCTCTGAACGACGAACGACTACTAGAGGCATTGATGAAGAAATTCGATACCAATAAAAACGGCTCGTTGGAATTCACGGAATTCTTGTGTCTGTACGCAGCGATCCTCAGAAGAGTGCGGGATAAGTACTTACAACTTCTGAACTTCTAACTGATTTTTAAATGTACTTAGTCTTTGTTCATGTTTGTTTTCCCTCATTTTTATTCCTCAATGAGAAATCCGATTACTCAAATCTATATCGTCAGTCGTGTGATATAAATACAACATGTGATGCTTGATGCCCTTCCTTCTAGCACGATTAGGTTTAAGAAGTCAAGTGGTCGCGTTTCTCACTTCTAAGCATGGACTACATGATGCACGACTATATCAGGCTTACACGACTGGCTTACCTAGTAGTCTCGCCACACCTGGATTATATCAGGCTTACACGACTGGCTTACCCAGTTGTAGTCTGGCCACACCTGGATTGTTATTGATATACATAGTATCATCTTCTCCCACTCCCTGAAAAATGTGAAACAGGTACATCAAAGCTGGCATAAGGCGTGACTTTTTCATCGACAAGAACCGCTCGGGCAAGCCAGAAGATTTTTATAAGACTCAGAAGAAACTTGGTGAGGGTTCCTTTGGCCTGGTGTATTTGGTCCAAGATTTGGCGAGTAAGCAAGAACGAGTGCTCAAGGTGGTGAACAAAGCCAAAAGCGCCATGCCGCCCGAGGAATTACAGTTGGAGATTGACACTCTGAAGTCCTTGGATCACCCGCACATCATTAGGTTGTTCGAGTATTTCGAGGACTATAACAACATCTACATTGTTATGGAGACGGCGAAGGGAGGCGAGCTTTTGGACGTGATCGAAAGCAATTATAAGGCAGGGTATTTCATTTACTCCTTCCGACTAGCTGAAGCAATCTTCTAGTTCTATCCAGGACGATATCGACTAGAAGATGTAGTACACCTACAATCTTCTAGTTCTATCCAGGACTTTGAGCATCTTTCTCCTGATTCAGATTCAGCACCTCCATCTTCACATGCATGCTAGAAGACGAGTTTACTAATCTTCGTCCTAGTGCAATTACAGTGTGTGGACGAATTGATCAACGTGATTGTTATGTATTTTAGCATAATGCTAATGAATCTTATCGTGGCGAATACGTAGGTAGTGGTCATAAAGACAATAGCACAATCTCGCCACCCACTGACCAAACTCAGCTATCGCCTCAACGAACAGTGGATTTCTGTCGTGTACACCCAAGTCCTGAATGCTATATCGTATGTGCATTCTAGAGGGATTATGCACAAGGACTTAAAAGCGGAGAATATCATGCTTCTAGACGACGGCAATAGTGCAACGACACCTCACGCAGTCGTTATCGATCTCGGATTGGCAGAAATGTTCGATAAGACGACAGGTATTTACGCAACTACCATCAAATTTGATTTTAAGACGCTTATTTTACAGTGACCAATATTAAATTTAGAGACTCAACCTCGATTCATACCTGCTTCCCCCCCCCCAATTTTTTATCCCCCAAACTACCTGTCTACGCAACTACCATCAAATTTGTAACGCTCATTTTAGTCTAATATTGAAGACCTGCTTCCTCCCCCAAACTTTTATAATCTTCCCCCAAACTACTAGTACTACCTACACACTACGACTACTACACTTGAATAGGTAAAAGCAAGAACATTGCTGGTACGCCAGTGACGATGGCACCAGAGGTATGGAACCAAAATTTTGGGCCCAAGTGCGATGTGTGGTCACTAGGTGTGGTCCTTTGGCAGCTGCTGAGCGGCAAACTGCCTTTCATTGCCAGATCCTGTAAAAGAAAAGACTGGCTAGCAGTCCTGACGCAACCACCAAACTGGAAACGAGTGGATCACGCAAGTGCACCAGCGAAACAGCTGTTGAAGTTATGGAGGAACAACTCGATGCAGATTTTCATCTGTCCTATATTTTTTTGTTGTAGTTTTTTCTTTTTTCATCATCTACAACTCGACGTCTAGTCATACTCCTAGAGCGAAGTAGAAGTTGTGCTCCTTACTGGCTATCTAGTCTTGCTGGCACCTCCAAAATTGTTTTTGAGTTTCATTATTTCTCAATTTGTGGGTAACTATATATCTCTACAACTAGCTACTTTCTTGTTGTCCTTACGGGTTGATGACACCTCCAAAATTGTTTTTGAGTTTCATTATTTCTCAATTTGTGGGTAACTATATATCTCTACTAGCTAGCCACTTTCTTGTTGTCCTATTTCTCTAATGCGTTCCATGTTGACCGTGGACGACAATGTGCGACCGAGTTGCTCCGACTGCCTCCGATTTGAGTGGTTCGAGCATGCGCCTGGAATGAAGGACGTGCATCTCGGTGAAGATGCAATGCATGAGCTGATGAAGTACCACGAAAGAAGCGACTTGGAGAAAGTCGTCAGAATGCAAGTCGCGTCGCAGTTGAGTGCCAACAAATTACCAAAGCTGAACGCGATATTCAAGAAGTACGATACAGATAACAACGGAACTCTGAGCATAGACGAATTAGTTGGCGCACTGCAGGAATTAGGGGTGGAGCCAAGTGTATGCAAAAGGGCGGCGGAAGGTGCAGCCACTAGCTACTTAGTTTATTTTTACTTCTTGGTGTGAACAATTATGCTACCTCTTCTACCTCTACCTCAACAATTATGCTACCTACTAAAGCAACTTAGTTTTACTTCTTTGCTACGGCTTCTACCTACTAAATAGGCGGACAGCACTTGTTCCACTACTCCTACTACAGATCGTACCACAAGAACCGCGTTAATCCCAATCTCCTCCACATCACAACAGCTCTCGACTTGGACAACAGCGGCTACGTGGAATATACGGAGTTCGTGGCAGGATGCCTTAGCTTTTTTGATAACCAGCTAGACCAGATGCTCTTAAGGGTAGGTTAAAGGTGCTTTTCTTACCGCTTTTTATGCCTCTCCTAAGGGAGAAAGGCATAAAAAGCGGGGTAAGCAAGCACCAAAAACCTACCTCTAATGCTCTGGAAAGCCTTCCAGCAAATCGATAAGGACAACTCGGGCTCCTTAACGCTGGACGAAATTGGGGAATTGATGAGTACTTCCGTTGAACTATATCTACTTTTTCTAGTTGAGTTTGCACTTTACTACAATCACCAATACTAATGGTTGTTCCTTATCTACTTCTTCTACTTTCATTTTTTAGACTATGGAGTAACACAACAGGCAAAGGAACTGATAGTCTAAAAATTCAACTTCAACTCCAACTACATTCATTCTCATCCAAATTGAACTTCAACTCCAACAACATGACAGGCAAAGGAACTGAGCTCGGATTAGGCAATGTCTCTCCGGATGAAAGCCAGATCAAGGCGATGATCAGCAAAATGGATTTGAACCACGATGGCAAAGTCGACTGGGACGAATTCAAGAGGTTTTTCACGCCGAGTTTGGAGAAGTAATGCAGCCGACACACAACATATCAAACACTCATTTCTAGAAAAGTTTTTGTTGTAAATCAAAATTGTCTTGTTCGAACAAATTGCTACAATTCATTGTACTACTATTATTATTATTATTAGTTCGCGCGCGGCCCGAACGCCTCACACGTGCTACGCCCTCGGGCGCTCTTACCATCTGTCACTATGGACACCGATGTAAGGGCGCTAAGGACCTTCCTGACGGACCGATGTTGTTGTTGGGTTTAATGGGGAAAAGGCGCATTCTACTGCGCTACGTTGTTCCTTTCCAAACCTTCATTCTAATTCATCTCCGCCGCACACTCTCACCCGAACACTCCCCCGCGTGCCGCCCATCCTCCGCTCTATGCCGCCGGCCGCACCTTACCTGCACGCGGCAACAAGGACGGATGGGCAGCACTTACACTGCCCATCGACGCCCTCGGGCCGCGGTACTCGTCCTGCGCGCGTCCGTATGGCCGGGGCTCTCAACGCCGGTGTGTCCGTTCCGCGTGGGCGGTGGAGCCGTGCCCGCTGCGGTGACCGTACGCACTTATCTAAATGGGACCTCTCCAATTCTATCTATTTCGTGTTACTCACGCTGCCCCACGACCCCTCCCTGCGAACGCACCTCGGCGTCCCTGCGCGGTTCGTCACGGCGGTGACTGGGCGGGCGCGCTCCCCTTCTTTTCCGTCAAAAAAGGATCTCCTCATGCACCCTATATAGAGATGCCTGTAACGCGTGCCTGTCCGCGATGCAGCCTATCTCGGCTGCTGCGCTCGCTCGCGACGTGATAAACTTCTTTTTCATACGCTGTTGCTCATGTTCGTTGAGGTCGTCGAAGAAGACGATCTTCGACCTCAGCGTCTTCTTCGCATACTCGGGCGCCGCGGCGCCGACCGTCCGCTTCTTCACTGCGTTCTTCGTATATTCCTCCAATGGGTCTCTAAACATATCCGTTTCTATATCTGCGCGGTGCCATGTATCTATATCTAGCAGCCGCTTCGAACGTAACAAGAATGGCCATCTCCTCCAGAACGGCCCTTTCATATATGTGCACTGCCTCCGCCGCCTCCTCTTGTATGTGGGTATGACTACTGTCTCTTCATCGTCTTCCCTGATGTCTCATATATGCTGGCTCTTTACCTCGTTTGAGCAGGCCTCAACATCGGTCTTTCCGTCCTCGTCTGCCTCCTGCTTGGTAGACATCCATGTCCCGCGACCGCTTGCTGCCTGCTTGGGTTTTGCTTTCGCGCGTGCCTGAACGACCATGGCTCCTGCTACGGCTCCTCCGGCTGCGCGACACACCGTTGTCGCGTCTACCGTGATCGTACTGCTTCCTCGATCGAGAATCTCTTCGCGCTTCCGTTTTCCTAGTGCTCTTCCGTGCACTCTCGCCGTCACCGTGCCCACCGTCGCGTGTGTTAGCGACCGTTGACCCGTTCAGGTTCTGCTTGGAGATATCGGCGTCGGCAGAACTAGACATGGCTCTCATCTTTGTCCACATCTTCACCAGCAGGTCCGGCGACATGCCCGGGAACTCTGCAGCGATCTCTTCCGGCACTGACGCTCCTGGGATGTTGCCGACACACTCTTTGCTCGCGCCGTTCGCACTCGTCGAACCCGGGACCGCCCGCGACCGCATCGGCGTTAACTCCGTACTGCTCATTGACGAGATCGTCGCTCTAGGTGCCTCCAGGGCGTGCATGCCTGTGTCCGGGCCTGCAGGGGCGTTCTCGAAGCCGATCCGGGTAATGCCGTCGCCCACGTGCGCAACAACTGTTGGGTGCACTGCGTGCCCGGCCGGCGGTCGTTGCTGACCGCACTTGGTGTCGCGTTGATGCTCGCTGCTCACTATCGTCGCTTGCCCATGCCCTCCCGTACGCTCTGTTGCTGTGTGCGCCAGTTCGAACGGCCGCTCCTCGGGTGTACCGAAGAAAGCTGCGCGCCCGGCTCGAGCGTTATCTACCGCTTTCTGGCGCAACTCTGTCACCATCGGTAACCGAAACCTGACCATCGGTTGTCTTTCCGCTGCCTCCAACGCCCTTCTTTGCTGAAACTGCGGCGACGATCGCGACCATCTGTTCTCGCTGTTGTCCCAAAAATTCGCTAAAGCCAACGGTATCACCGACGGCGCTTGCGCGACCGGAAATATTGGTATATTCGCGTATTGCTTGGGCATCATATTCGGCTTTTTCGGCCAATGCGCTATCGTTGATAAAATTTAATATTCCCTCGGCTGTGCGCTATCCGGCATCGGTGCTTCCCCTACCAACGGAGCAATCCCGATATCTCGAAATTGGTCCGCGAAGACCGCCAGGTTATATGCTAATATACACTGATGATCGTTTTCCGTGCTCACCGTGTTGGTGGTTGTCTGGAAGCGAAGGAACATCGGTGATCCGTCGTTCGTTGTACTACTACAAAAACATTGTCATTACCGTAAAACATCGGATATTTCCATTCTAGACAACATAGCTCAAATATCATCTATAACAGGGACAACCTTGAAGCACTTGTCTAACATTCATTCTAGACAACATAGAGCCCGCCGGTGCGCCCACACTCGGCGGAGCCAATCTTCATTAGACTTGTTTAGCATCCGTACAATTAGGAACACCTGGCGTTTATCTGTTTTCCAATTCATCATGTATTTATAGCTTTGAATAATCTTTGTCATCTATTATAGTAGGATGCGCAGGAGCATACTAGAAAGATGAGATGAAAATTATGATTGTAGCTGTAGCTTGTTGTGTAGTCTTATCATGTCTATTATCGCTTGGATTTGCGGTCTGCCTCAGCTGTGCTTCTACATCTAGAAGTACTTGAGTAACTTGACTACGTTCTTCAATTATTTTTCATCATCCCTAAGCGGCCAATCTTAAACTACAAGAGCACCACGAAAACGAACACATATGTAAATGATAACAATCCAGTAAATCAGATCTGAATACGAATACATAAATCGTCAAAAAGTCCCCCAAAACATCATCAAAAGTACCTTCTTTCCCAGCGTTGTTAGAATGATCTTGCTTCATTCAACAAAGCAAACGACAATGATTAGTGAAATGCTTGGTGAAAATGACACCAGATGAAAAAGGAGAAGGACATCTTCATACTACGACTCGTTGTGTGAAGACTATCTAAAAGTATCATGAAGAGCTGCTTGTTCTTCATCATCTACGACTCCCTTAAGGTTTACAAACTTTAGAACACGCTACAAAAAAGGGGGAAAAAAGCAAAAAAATCGCAAAAAATAAAATCGTGAGGAATTAAATCGTGGGAATTTCATGCGCCCCGTTTGATCTGCGCGCACGGGCTTGCGTCTGCCTGCCTCTTCGTGTGTTGCGTGAGCCTGCGAGGGCTCAGCCCCATGGCATCTGCGCCGCGCGAGCGCGTCGGCGCTGCGCGAGGGAGTCTGCGCTGCGCGAGCGGGTCTGCGCAGCGCGGGCGAGTCTACGCCGCGCGGGCGAGCGAGTGGCCTGCGTTGCATCGGGTCTGCGCGGCGCGAGGGAGCCGGTTTGCGTTGCGCGAGTGGGTCTGTGCTGCGCGGGCGAGTCTGGTCTGCGCTGCGCGAGCGAGTCTGGTCTGCGCTGCGCGAGCGAGTCTGGTCTGCGAAGCGCTGCGCGGGCGAGTCTGGTCTGCGCTGCGCTGCGCGAGCGAGTCTGGTCTGCGCTGCGCGGGCGAGTCTGGTCTGCGCTGCGCGGGCGAGTCTGGTCTGCGCTGCGCGAGCGAGTCTGGTCTGCGCTGCGCGGGCGAGTCTGGTCTGCGCTGCGCAAGCGAGTCTGGCCTGCGCTGCGCGAGCGAGTCTGGTCTGCGCTGCGCGAGCGAGTCTGGTCTGCGCTGCGCCCGCTGCGCTGCGCTGCGCGAGCGAGTCTGGTCTGCGCTGCGCTGCGCTGCGCGAGCGAGTCTGCGCTGCGCGAGCGAGTCTGCGCTGCGCGAGCGGGTCTGCGCTGCGCGAGCGAGTCTGCGCTGCGCGAGCG